CGCTATCTCGAAACCGAGGAATAGAAAAAAGGTCTCTGTGAATTTTTTTGGGAAGATCAGAAAATTTGGCTGTGTTGACCTACAAAAAAGGTTGACCGAGCTTTCTTTGTTTTTATTTTATTCGCCCTTCGTTGCGAAAAACCTTCAGGCCAGCCTGAAACAGACAGACCAAAAGTGTGATCAAATTTTTGAACCCAAATTTTAATTTACAAAATATTCAAAAATTCTGAAATGATAAAAGCTAAAGTGCCCGTTTGAACAAACTTGAATCAAAATGAACTACATTAATCACGTGCACTTCAGGAATATTACCAATAATCCCTCCTCTTGAAGCTTCCGCCTTTTAAAGATCCCGCCCATAAAAGAATTACAAAATGGGATACTTTTAATGACTGTCGTCTTCGCCTCGAGTGGAATGTTTGTCTCGGAGGAAGTCTGGACAAATCTGTCTGAATTTTCTAGCCTCAGGGTCAAAATTGAGTTCAGATTCTGTTGCACCGGCTGCAATCGCTCCAAAGTTTTTCAACTGGTGTCTAGCTTGAGGTTCACTGCAACTTGGGTTGGTCTCAAGTTGGGTGCTCTAGCTTGCTGATGTTGTTCAACCTAATCTAGCGTTGTGTAATTAATGAGAATCTTGGTATGCCGGTCAGTGTATTGTCGAATATGACTTTTATCAGTGTGCGCATAATTATAAAATATTTGTGTGCTCATAACTACAAGCATAACGTGAGGAAAAGTAGCCAACATTTTTTGTGCCAAAATTTTCCGCGCTGCAGGCTGTTTTTCAATTTAACATGGCGTTTTTGAGCAACTTTCAAAATCTTTGAACAAAAAACAAGTGAATTCTGTAAAAATACAACCCGCATTGGCAAAAATAAGATTGCAATCGCTTATAATCGATTTTTATACCGATTTTCTACTAGTAAAAAATCGATTGTATTTAACCCAATTAGACACTAAAATGGATATTATAGGGATTTTATACAATTCAGAAAAACCGATTTTATAGTCTAGAAAATGAATTTTTTGGCAGTATAAAATCTGTGTAGAATCTGTATAAAATCGATTATAATCGATTGTAATGCATTTTCTGAGGACCCAAAAAAATCGATTAAATTGTCTAAAAAATGCATTATATTGTCTAAAAAATTGATTTTTTTTACTCTTAGAAGCATGCTGTTTGAAAACTCGAAACAAAAGTTGAATTCAAACTAAACGACACAAATTCAAGAAAATCATCGATATAAACAAGACTCAGTCACAAAAATATGCATAAATTCATGAAAATCATCAATATATAAACAAGATTTTGGGCACAAAAATAAGCAATAAAAATATTAAAAAACTATCAATGTAAATCAGATATTGGGCAAAAACCAATGTACTAAATACAGAAAAAGGTCGCTAAAAATTCGTTTTTGAGCTCAAAAACATGCAACAAAAATATAGCAACTTAAAACTCAGGGAACATATTTCGACTCGAGAAAATATAAGAAAAAAATTAAGAAGATACTGGGGTTTTCCATTTTTGGACAAAAACCTTTTTTTTTAGTTTTTTTTTTTTGATTTTATCCCCCCGAAACGAACACCAACTCACAAACAATCAAAATCTAGTGGAAAAAAAACGAAAACTCGCCCTTATTCTCGTTTTATCAGTTTTGGTCTTATTATAATGATTTATGTTGTTTTAATCAATTTTGGCCATTTTCAAAAAACAAGACGCGTAACAAAACTTTTTTCAATTTCGAATTTTTTTCTATAAAAATTTAAACGAAATTGCAATGGATTTTATAGGGTATATAATTTATATAAAATATGTATATAATGTGTATAAAATCAGTTAAAAATTTATATATAATTTGTAGCAAAAAAGGCACTTAAAAATGGATTTTCGTCACTATCAAATCGATTGGATTATGGTCACTATCAAATCGATTGAAATAAGTATAAACTGCAATCAATTGTAATCGATTTGATAGTAAAAAAAAATCCATTATTTTGTGCATAAAATTAAACTAGCTCGCTGAACTGTAGATTTTATTTGCGATTATCAATTGCAATCTTAGTTTTGCCAATGCGGGAACCCTTAGAGTTTTTTTGCTTTGCTCTCTGGTGGAAAATGTTGAGATTCGTGGACACCATGTGAATTCAGCTAGTTTTAACCGAAACTGAGGAGCTTCTAACTAGATTTAATAATATTCGCGCATGACGCATGTAATAAAATAAAAGATTTGTAGTCGTATAAAGCGTGTAACAAACAGGGGTCTAATCATACAAAACCATGAAATTAGTCTGTGAAAAAAGTGCTACTCATACAATTATATATTCAAGAATATTATGGGGAAAGCACTTTTCCAAATAAATTTTTTCAGATATCCTCTGAAATTGTTTTTAAAATATTTTGAATGTGTCAATTGCAGTTTTTTGTCAAACGAGATATTATGATTTTTTTCTTCAAAAAATTAATTGTATTTTGCATGAAAAAAAATCATGTATTTTCATATAGAGGTAACAATTGTTCTACAAAAAAACTTTGATGTTTCATTAGATGCAGTTGCAGCAAAGTGACACCAATATTTTGCAATTTTCAATTTCAAAAAAAACATATCTATTAAAAAATACGCGATCAATTTAGCAAAACGCGCAATCCCAAAGAATTTATAAACATTTTCCAAGAATAAAGTCTAAAAAAGCTCTACCATTTTTTATTAAGTAATTTAGAAGCATCCGAATTAGCGATTGAAATAAGTGAAATCAGAAATCGATTTAGTAGCATAATTTTCCAGAATATTTACTATAGGTGTGAAGTTTATTTGCAAGCTTTTTAAAAGTCGATGAGAGTATTTATATAGGTCTTGATGATTTTAGTTTTAATTTTTTTAGTGTCAGGCTCAAATTTACTTTTTCGCGGTTTGATTTTCGATTTTTTCTTCAGTTCAATTCATTTCCTTTGTGAAAAGGAAGGCAAACTCTACTATCAAAAAGCGAAAAGGTAAAGATCACGAAAAACTTGATAGTCTTCTAATTTCCGGAATGGAATTCAATTATCAGATATTTTAAATTTCTCAAATAAAATTTATACTATTTGATCCAGTGTTCTCAAATTGAGTTATTTTCATCAAAAGTTTATCAATCAAAATGTGTTTAGAAATTTCAAAAACTCTAAGGCCATCTTTTTTTGTTTTTCAAAAAGCAATTTGAAGCAAGTTATGTATTTTTTTTCGGTTTACTAGCGTTTATTGATTCTTTTCCAACTGTCTTTTGGCTATATCCTTTGACAATTTCGTCACTCAGGCACCCGGTTCGTGTTTCGAATTTAAATTAAGGAGTAGGAATTAACTTTTGTGTGGGGTAAATTTTTATTTTTTGTGCTGTTTTTGCTAGCTGAAAGCTGGTTTCTGTGAGACCAAAAAGTTTTATCATATTGAAATCTTATGAAATGTGATTTGGTTCAAAAGAATATAAGCTGTAAAGGTTCTCTTTGCATTATTGTCTAGAATACCCGCTATGTTTAGTGACACTGAATTAAGAAAAATTTGTTTTCTACATTAATTCTATCTGGAAAGTTTTTGAATTTACACCGCTTGTTTTCTCCGAATTTCACAAGATTATCGCATGCACAGTTATCTCTGCATTATGTTGTTGTCCCTGTAACGGAGAAATCCAACTTCTAACAAAAGAGCAAAAAGAGAAAGAGCAAAAAATATCAGGCAAATTTTTGCCTATTTTAGGCAGTTGCTTAGAACAAAGTTCCAGAGGATCTTCAATGATCTAATTTTGTATAAAAAACTTTTAAACTCGTTATGATTTTAAAACTTATCGAAATATTGAAGCATTTGATAAAAAAATTGATTTTTCTAATGCATAAATAAATCAATTTTTCATGCTTGTGAATTTTTATTTTCGCCTCTTCTCGCTTCCCAAAAAATCATCGAAAATCAGTTTTAAAATGTGAATAGGGACTTTTATACTGAATTTTTTTATTCTTTGGCCCAAGTGAAGGCTGACTTCTACATCGCAGACTTGTGCCTTTCAGCCCTCAAATAAAATAAAATTCCACCGTCTTTCGCTATAAATATAAAAACACAAAAGATTTTTTGGGAGTGGTCTTTTATTGAAATGAATGTATAAAAATACCTTTAAATTTGATTCAAAACATTAAATGTGGCCTCTGTAGCAACTGATTTTTCTGGATGAAAGTTCTGCTGAACTTTTTTTTGTTGTTTAAACTAAGACTTCATTCTTTCAAGGAGCTTAAAACAATCAATACTTTCAAACATAGTTTGCCATTCTATCAAGATTATGACGTGAGGTGAAATTTGAGTTTTCCGCGTAAAATCAGGTGCTATAAAAAGCATCATATCAAATATGAAATCATTTTTAAAATGTTCTAACCGGAATTTGATCTGCTGAAAGAAAACCGATCACTCGTGGCGGAAAAATGGTTTCAAGTTCTCTTTTCCCTTTTATAATTTATTTTGCGAGTATTTTACGAGCATGGTATCTTCAGTGCGAAAAGTAAAATTTTCTCTAAATTGACCAAAAAATTAATTCTTTGAATTTACCTGAAAGTTTTTTTTATTTCTTATTTTTAGTCGAAATTCACCCAAAAGCAGTAGCGGATTGGGGGGGGGGGGGGGGGGGGGGTGGGGGGTTGGGAGGACGTTCTTTTTCCTAAAAATTCGAACCCCTGCCGACCCAAAGGGTATTCACTTTGTACTATTTTGGGATATCGTCCCAAAGCGCCCAATAAATAGTTTGCCGTGCAATATAGTCAAAATTAATTATAACAGCATTTTGAGGAAGGATCAAAAAATTGGCTTCGTGACTGCAACAAAAATTGGCTTCGTGACGCGTTTTCCTTCTTTTTTTCTTCAAAAGCTTCGTGTTGTTAATTTTGCTTGTACAATTTTTTTTCTGCGTTCATTTTATGGCTTTTTGTTACTTCTTCTAAGATAACTTTTCTTTTCTAACTAAATTACAAACTAAATTTTGTGCAGGTGGCAATAGGGTCACTGGATTGCGTCATGAACTCATGTGGTCCTATTTGACCCTGGCCAAGAGGTCATACACTGTAGCCGAGAGTGCAGGGGAGCTGAAGATCACAGTGCTTCGCAAGGGGTACTTAGGAAACACCGCCTATGTGGGTATGTGAACTACTTTAACTCTTAACATAAACAATGCTAGTGTTCATAACCAACCCCAAAAGTGTTGATTGATTAAGTGTGTTTGTGATTGTGGTTGTGGTGTGGTATGTTACTAATAGTAATCAAAAACTTAATGTTTCGTGTAACTCCAATTTATTATCCAAATAAGGATTTTTGTGAAATTTGTATGTTACGATTGATTACAATTTAGGAGGTGTTGGAAGGAGAAATCCTTTTTTTTTTGGGGGGGGGGGGGGGGGGGGGGGGGAGTAGGTTTAGATGGGGGCTAGTTAAGATACGGTGAAACTATAGAAAACTATTTCAAAAACGATTCTGTTTTCGAAATATTGAAATACTTCTAGTCAGCTATTTTGTCTGTTTTCAAATTAGAAGCAAAAAGGTAAGGAATCTGCCGCTTAAGATGACGTGGTTTTGGGTATAATTTGAAATAAATTAGTTTATAGGATCATATTGGGATCTTTGGAACCCCTCCCAGTGTCTAATTTACATTTATACCAGTCATATATTGAGGGGAAATTTTCATAAAAAGTCAAAATTTGCGCTTGTAAAAAATACTTGCCACCTCTCATTTTGATCAAACTTGCAACACATACTAAACATTGCGTCCCTTGTGTTGGCTTGTTTGCACCCTAGGGTGGTTTATTATACTTATACTCTCTGTTTATTATTCATAACGCTAACCAAGTAAGAGACGGATAGGAATAACCGAAGGTTTCTCTGGCCAACTGAAGGCCATAAAATGGGGTCATAAAAAGTTATATACACCGGATATAAAAGGACTTTTCTCTGACACAGTTAGTCTCCCTCCGATGAATTCTGCTGGTTTCCATTTGAAAATAAAATTGTTTGTCTCGTTCCAGTTTTCTGCCAGGAATAAACAATATTTTATTGTTCAGTAAACAAAAGTTAAGCTGGATGCCGCTGGTAATAAAAAAGCAAATAATTTTCAACAAAATGCTGAAATGATTTTTTGTTACATGAAACGCATGGAAGAAATTACAAAGTTGAAAAATAAGGTTTATATGCAAGGAAAAATTTTACTGTCCATCTTAAATATGAGCTAAGTTGCTCAGCGTTTGGCTCAGCCAGTTCGGCACGGAACTCAAGAAAGAATTTTAATTTGAGTTCAGTTGAGTTCCGACGCCCCATCTTCCTAAATCCGCTACTGCCGCTAACATTTTCATCTTGTTCTAGGAATTTTTTATCTTCTATGTAGGAATTATGTAAGAACAAATACAAATAGTCTTATAATTACTAATATTTAACAAATTATTTTGATAATTTCGCCAACTAACTTTTTAAATTTTTTGACTAATAAATGTGTGTGTGTCGGAACAGACGTTAAAATAAAAGACGCGACCGCGAAAAGCGGAGAGGATTTTGATGACATCTGGTCTCTGACCGACAAAGACCTCTGGTGGACTCAAACGGGACAGCACCAACGCATTATCAACATGCCATCGGACGCCGAGAAGGGTAAAGTATTATGTCACCCAGATTACATCATCTCAGCTCCCATTATGGCCTACGAGTAGATGCAACAGGGTGTTGCGCAATAGGTTACGTAATATGGAATGTCTTCGGAGCAAGTTTAGACAGCAGCGTTTATCTGTTCTCTTCTGTTTCTCGCCGTTATTATGCAACTATCAGACCACCGAACAGTGTCGGTTACATAACTTTATTCAGTTATCGTCCTTTACAGAGCAGTGATGGTAACTTATTGTGAAGACATAAAAATCGCAATCGTAATACCTCAAACCTCAATTTTCAATATTTTTTACTCAATATGTTAGCAGAGGCTCAAGCTTTACGATTTTTTTCTCTGGTTCAAGTTTCTTTGTTTCAAGTCTTGCAAAAGTTAGATATAAGGTTATATAATTCAGATATATTAGCTAGTATGCGTTGGCTACAATATTTTTGAGACTTTGAAATTTTTTCTGCAACTTTTTTTGTTTTTTCTTCTTGATTTTTCTAAACACTGCTCTGTCACTTGCAATTCGTAGCCTGTAGAAAGTAGACTTCCGAGATCTCGTCCAATCACATTCGATGTGAATTCTGATTGGACAATAATATAATTGGACTCCACATGCTGGCTGTGACAATGGCATCCTGCTGACACTACTCACCCGCTGTTGTGCTGATGGACAAACAATTATAATACGTCTAACTCACACCTGCTGTCTGTTCTAATCATTTAGACTACAATTACTTTTGTACCATACTGATACACTTGGCTGATTAACATCAATTTACAAAGTAGGGCGGCAACGCTCGCTTAGCCTAAAGATCAGTCAGTTGAAAATTAGTGGTCTAATTTTCAATTTAAAATAAACAACACGGAATTGAACACCGAAATTTTAAATCAAACAGCAAAAATTGTATTTTGTGTTTTTGCGACAAAAAGACAAAAATATGAAAAAAATCTGGAATTGTTTTTTGACCTTTTGGCTAAACGGGCGATGTCCGGCTTGAAAATAGAACACACTTATATTTGATGGACTATTTTAGGTTTAGAAGACTACTATCAACTGTTTATGAACTAATCAATTAGGTCTAGTTTAGATGGTTAATTAACTAATTCAATTGTCAAGTAGTTATCGAATTTAAGTTTTATTATTCACTATCCACCAACTAATCGTCTAACAATTAACTCACTATTAACATGATATTTGGTTATTGTTAATTTTTAAGTTTTAGCTCAAATGATGTTTCTTACTTGTTGTAGATACATGTTAGAATTCATTCATTTTTTTAAAAACTTAAAAAAAGAATTAATTTTAACAGTAATTTTGTTTACAAATATGAAACTTATACTTAATGGTTCTTCTATAAACCAGACGGAGTAGTTTCTGACAAAATTCCAAATTAGTGAGAATAATTTTTTGAAAAAAATGGTTGTAGTTTCGAATAAAGGGCCAATAAATTAACATGTTTGTATTCATCAGAGATGATAATTCGGCCGACTTGCTTCGGTTACGCTTGCAACTACAGACGCCGATTTTCAACAGGTAGTTGTATGTTCACATACACATGCGCAAACTGGTTGACCTTGACATTGACCTCTAATTTGAAGATGGCCTTGAATATGTTGACATGACATGACCTATGTGCAGTTACGAACTTTGTTGAACTCCTTTTTAACAACCACACAACCCCTCTGTCTGACCAAAACTTTTTCGTGTTTATTTGTATTTTCGTACTTTTTGTCACGACTCCCTTAACTTTCAAAGATATGTTTCTTCGAAAAATATTTTGTGTACTTAACCTCACCCTTCAACTTAACAATCATTTTGAAAAAAGAAACGGAACCAATATGACAACAAAGATAGCCTACAAAAAGCACAGAATGTTTCAGCCACTCTGAATTGAGTAAACAAGTTCAAAAATCAGAAAACTAAAAAAAAATTTAAAAAATCGTTTCTGCAAATTCTGTCAGTCATTCGTGGATTTGGTGTCATCTAGTCTGAAAATTTTCAAGCGAGTTTTTTTGAAACTGCAGTTTTTGATATTTTGGAGTCCAAATCACGACCAATAGAGTTTTAATATGATATCACTTTTGATCGTTCGAGCTTTCTCTAAGGCAGTCAAAGTCGAGTGGATAAAAAACACTTTCTCTATATTTGCTTCCCTTTACTGATTGAAATGGTCGAAATACATGTTTTCGTTCGGAATAATCGTTTTCAGTAATAACAAAAACTCTGAATTAATTTTTTTCGAAAGCAAAAAAATGCTTTGCTTTTCCAATTTTTCTTGAGCTTGATATCATACTTCAACACGTGCGAAGTTTTTTAGGTAATCAAAGATGGCTGAAAAACACCAAACGCCAATTTTTTTTTCACTTTGTGAAGTGGTCGGAACAGTATTTAAAGAAAAATGGACGAATTCTCAGAACACTTTTTGTGAAAAGCTTAAATAAGCTTCTAATTTCAAGCCAAATCAACTATCGATTCGCGCCCAGAAGGCTCTGATTAGGGCACTCAAGCCAAAAAAAAATCTTTTTTTTTTTTCAGGTAGCTTTCGTGTGTAGCAACACTGGGTTTGACTTAAACTCCAGACGAAATTAAAATACGATATTTCAAATAAAAAATACAAAGAACAGCTTAAAAGTGAGCCATGAGTGAGTTCGTACATCATTGTCCAAAATCAATTGTAAAGTTTGATCTAAAAGACGAAAATTTTAGACAACTTTTCTTGACCCAGACTTTGTTTTTTTTCAAACCCAATTCTTAACTCAAAAAGTTTAAATATCATACCACTCTTAATAATCTATAAGCACTATTCGAGGAACCTGATTTTTTATTTAAAAAATACGCCTTTTTTGTCTTGATTTCTGCAGTATTGATAATCTGTTGAAAAATTGTTGATTTTTTTTTACAATTCGTTCTATTGCTTTTATACAATGATTCAAAATGTTATATTACGACGAAGTCGGTAGGGTGACAATTCGTAACAGGTAACACTTTGTAACAGGCGACAATTCGTAACAAGCGATAATCTTAGTAAGGCATTGGCTGCGCTTACATCCGAGACGAGAGGAATATTGCGCGTGAATCAGTGTTACCCCGCTTAATTCACTGTTACGAATTGTCGCCTGTTACGAATTGTCGTCTCACGGACAAACTATTTTGAAGATTTTGAAAAGCTAATGTGTGGTTGGCTAATCACCAATCAGGGTAAATGGCTGATTTTTGGACTTCCGGTTCCCGTTTTTTTCAAAAACAGTTCAACAAACTTAAGAATTCGCTATTCTGAAGGCCAATTAGCAAATACGTAATAGAAGAGAAGTGTGCAATTAGCCGAACTGCGTGTGTGATAGCTCAGTTGCATTTGCTTAAAATTGCATCTATACAGATTTGTCTAAAAGCATTAGTAGTTTCAATAAAGCTTATGGTTAGTTCTACAAGATTTACTTCAGAACTAAATCTGACGAAAACAGAAAATATCTTGGTGATTTTTTTCCGCCTCGAACACAATAATTTAAATGAGCATTTCAAATTAAATAACAAGAACTGATAATGCACTTTTCACGAAGAAAATAATGATGTTGGAGAATTATTTAAGCACTTACTAAAGTCGGATGACATAATCATGAATTAGACACGTAATTAAGGCACCATTTTGATAAACTCGAATTTTAAACGAAAAAAATTCGTTAACTTTTGATTAAAAAACCGTGTTTTTTAAAAATTTTTTAGAGGCTGTTTTTTTCTAGATTTTCTAGATTAATTTTTTCTGCAAAATGTTTTTTTTAGCTATTTATTTTAAAATGCATCTTGCCACTACGCTCTTTTGATTCTGAAACTATATGTCCAAACTTAAAGCCAGTTCTTTGGTTTGTAGAGCATGTCCAAAAACTTTATTATACCAAAATCATTCACACTTTCGGTCACCTTAAACTCCATCAATCAACTTTTTTCAAACTTTTATGTTTCTTTCACAAACTTCACTAAAGCATCACGAAAATATCACGAATTTTTCACGTTTAATGGGGTGACCGAAAGTGTTTTTTATGAAATAATTGCTGATATGCTTGCAATTATTTCCAGGCATGAAGTTGACAGATGTGGATCGGAAGTACTCGGGTGTGGGGGAGATAGACAACAATGACATAGTGTTGGGGGAGGTAGACCCTAAGTCGGGTACCCACGTGACCAACCACAGACAGATCACATTCAACGAAGGCGAAAGTGAAAAGGTGAGAGGTGCCTCACAATCTTTTGGGTTTCCAGGAAATTTTAAGCCCGTCAGGAATTGTGAGCGAGCTAAGCAGAACTGCGACACCCCCCGTCCCCCGTCTACCTAAAAGTTTTAAAAGTAAAAATTGTGGGCTCTTTTCTAGTCCCCCCTCCTTTCAAAATACCGAGTTTTATGTTTGTTTTACGTGTTATTACGACTAAATGCGTGATGTTACGCTGTATATATGAAGAACAAATCTGTCGGTTCACAGTTGTCGATTTGTTCAACACGCAAAATTTCAATGCATTATGACAACGTTAAATAAGCTTTTCAAATTTGAATTTGAAAGGGGGGGGACTGGAAAAGAGCCAAATAGTGTTCACAGTGTCCGATTGGTATAAAACTGGCATGCAAAATTATAAAGATATTCCAATATCTTTAAAAACTGGTCACTTTAAAACTGGTCACATAAATCTGGTCACATAAATCTGGTCACGTTATAAAACTGATGCTAAAGGAAAAAGAGCCGGAGTGGTAATCGCCTGTGTCAAAATTGTGATCTGATTGATTCTCCAAAATCTTCAAAATGCGAGGTGCTCCCGGGCAGGCTCGAACTGCCGACATCCGCATTGCTCATTCTGTCTATAAGTACGGCGCTCTAACCGACTGAGCTACGGGAGCTTATTGTACAGTGTAGAAAACCCGGATATGGTCTCGCCCATGCTAATTACACCGATAGTTCCGATCCTGAATATTATTAAAGCACAAGAATCATGTTTCAGATTTTTGTAAGAACTTTTGAATGATATCTTTGGAGCCAAAAAGATTAGGAACACTGTGACAACTTGAACTACAATCCAAAATGAGAATTACACTCAACAGTTTAATACTTCGCACTACCCCGCCGCACGAATCCACGTATACATAGACCCCAAATTGAGTATGGATCTAGGATTTTCAAATGGATCCAGTCAACCAAATTGTTTTTTGAGCTCTCCCAAATTTAAAAAGACCTTAATTTGACCAAGTTTTCTGCGCCGCATGCAAATTTTTGAAAGTATATGCCAAAAAGGCGTTCTTAGGCACCTTTTGGAAAATTTTGACAAAAAAACACGTTTTTTTGGCGCGAGCGTCCTCCTCAACATTAGTAGATATTGGCGTCAAAGGCGCCTTAAGAAAAATTTATTAGGGTCCGAAAAAAAAGTTTTTTGGTGTTGGATCAATCTTCCCGGGTGTTGTCATACAATTTTCAATAATGAAAAAATACTGATCATACAGTTTTGTGTAACTCCATAGATATAGAAATTGTTCAGAAAACTTTAAGATAAGCCATTTTTCATACATGGAAATTGTAGGATAAGCATTTTTCCATAAACCAAATTTTTGGGATATGTTGGTGACCGACAACAAGTGACTTAAGCCATGCTTTACTCAAAACTAGAGTCACCAAAAGGTTGATCGTCTGGCTTTTACAATGCATTGGAAACGACTTGAATTGTTTAAGAGTTCTTTTCACAAATAATATAATGAAAGCATCAAACTTTTTAAACAAAGATGATTATTTTTAAAAGTAGAAATTTCAAATTATCAGACATTGATCAAGGCATATATATACATGCCATACAAAAGAAATAGACGTTTTTTGCCTGTTTAAAAAACATTATCCAGAGAAACGAAAAAGAAATCAAATTTTCGTGAATCCCTTCGTACGTTATGCAGACACAAAATTAAAATTTGCATACTTTTTTTGAAAAATGTTTGAGTACAAAATTCGGTTTGCGATCGAGAAAAAAAAACAAAAAAATTTGGGGCAATTTCAATATTATTTCTTGTCGCTATCAAAAAATGCAAATCATACAATTTTCATTTATGGAAGTTTTATGATACCCATTTTTCGAAAAAAAAAGAAACATCGTTTGCTTTTCATCACCAGACCGTTTTATTTGGTTCAAATAGCCGCAGTAACTAGTTCGAATTTTGTTTCAATGAATTTTTGAAATTGTATGAAAGGTGTATGATTAGCATTTTGCAATACATTTGATGAATGGAATTGTATGATAAGCTTTTTTGGTGTATGAAATTGTAAGACAAACATTTTTGGTTTATGGATGTCAACCCGGGTTCCTTGCCTCATTCAAAACTGAAACTAAAGTGAATGATGCAAGCGACATACTATTTAAATTGTTATTTTTAAATTTATTGAAATGTTTCATTTAAAAAGCTTGAATTCATCATTTTACAACTTTACATTCAAGTAAGTTGGATTTTTAAAAAAAAATAGATAATTTTTCAGCAATGACAACACTGCGGGACCCCTATTAGTTAAAAATAAATTAACTAAAACATAACTAAATAAAGCATAATCACTAAATGTCGACGTCTGAAGAATGCGACGAGCTGCCTGCTGCGTCGCGACAAAATTTGATTTTTAACTCACAGTTTTCGGTGGAACTTTTTATTGTCTAAAAAATATTGATGCCATGAGCTCAAAAAAATAAATTTTACTTGTGGTCTTTTTTGTTTCGACTTTTGAATAAAGTGCCAAAATGTTGACACTTTATATTCCGATTTTTGCTGTTTCTATTACGGCTTTTGCAAGAAAATACAGAAAATTATAATCGGGGCGATTTTTTTTATTCTTCGATCTTTTTCTTCCAGAAATTGTTTTTTTTTCAAATTCTTCATAGAAACAATCTTCAGCGATCCAAAAAATCGTTTTCAATGTCATTTAACCCAATAAAATTGATGACTTCCTTGGCTCAAAGTCTGGTAAAGTTCTGAGGGTTTGAAAATTGGCAATTTGGACAATTTCTGGACTAATTTATGTGCGTTTTGAAAGGGTTACTCAAGTTATTCATTTGTGGTGATTTATCCTCACAATTGTTCCAAATTGAATGGAAGCAAGCTAATTGTCACATTAAATTCCTATGCGAATTGCGAAAATAATGTCAGCACTTAATTTTTGATACAGGAAGTCCTAACGTATTGACAATGTATCAACATTTCCCTTAATAAATTTATTGCAGACCATTAAAAGGGCCCATTAAGAGACTATTATAACCTTCAGTGCTTTCCCTTGAACTGGCAGTGTACAATTCCAAAAAAAAATTACAAAAACTACTCAAGATCAGTAAAAAGTCAGTTGGATTTTTCTTGGCTCTACCCTGATGATGAAAAAAGCCGCCTTATTTATAAGGTTAGGGGGTTTAAAAATGCTAATTTGGCCAATTAGAGATACTTAAGGCGGGTTAAATTGCGTTCTTTTAGCTCGTTAGCGGCGAAAAATTTGAAGTGGTTTAGGCTAATTGCCCTTTTTAATACGCTACTGGATGCAAAAAATAATCACATAGTTTCCTACATAGCGTGCGGGGGATAAGAAAATCATAAAAAATACTTTTCAAATTTACTCTTGCAAAAAGCAAGGTTATTGCAACCGGGTACTAGCCTTTTTTCCGTAAACATGGGAAGACTGAAATTGGTCGTGGTACAGAGATTAAGTCATGGTTCTTAATGTCTTTCCTTAGTACTGTAACTAATTCGTGTCAAACTGCGGAAAAAATTAGATGTAGATGTTTTTTGTGGGCCATTCGGGTTTTGTCTTTATTTTGTCGGCTTATTTTTAATTTAAAATTCCCAACAAACTTTTGAATAATTCTTAAAAATTTTTCAAAAAAATTTGGAGCGTTGTAAAAATGATTTTAGGCTGCTGGTTTAAGCCCGACAAAAACGTCTGCTAAGAACGGAAAATGTTTTTAAGTAGATGACAGTTTTTGTGGCTGCATGGATTCTGTGTTCTTATTCAGATTTAGTTTTGTGGACTTTATTTGTTGGAACTTAGCATTTTAATCCTGGTTAAATTTTAGCAATTTCATATTTACTTTTGACCAGATTGTTTTGTCTACAAAAAATTTTAGCGGGTTTCGGGATCAAGATTGTGCTTGTTTTTGATTTGATTTTTGACAGTTTTTGAATTATTTCTTTCAAGTTTTTTTTATTATCATCAAATACCCAAAATTGCTTGCCCAAAACTACTTCATGGACGTTAAGGAGCGTAAAAAATTACTTTAGATACGCTTTTATTGGCGTTATAGGTATTCGCCTTGAAAGGAGCATTCTTGCTGAGATTTCATTCCGGTCGAGATTTGATTTGAAATGTGCGCAATTCGTTAAATCGACCTAATTGTGTAGCCAATTTACTAAGGATCATATGTCATGGGATAATACCGTTTGATATTTATGCTATATAAGACGCCATCTTTTAAAATTAGGGTATCATAGTTTTTGCGGTTTGTAGATCTGGGCACTGAAAATAGCAGATGATGACAAGCACGAGGGGGCTGAGAGTTTCCGGGTTACTCTGGTGGACCCTGTGCTGGCAATTCTGGAGACGGAAGCACAAGGGGAGAACGGCATAGACACTGCAATCATCGACATCATAGATGATGAAGACAGTGAGTTAACTTCATGTTGAGTTTTTAGCAAAAACTATTATGATAGTTATAACGAAGTTATTCATTTAAAAAATAACTAAAAAATTGAACCTGATGACACAGACATTTTTAAAATAGTCAGGGGCGGATTTAGGGGGGGAAGGCGGGGGGGGGCGGACGCCTCCCCCCCTCAGGGATTCGACCCCCTGCCGACCCAAAGGGTCCCCCCTCTGATACTTTTTCAGAAATCCATTTTTGGCCGACCGACCCTAAAATTTTTCTAAAGGCGCCTTTGGCGCCAATATATACTAACTTTGAGGGGGAGTGCGAACCAAAAAAAACGCGATTTTTTTGTCAACATTTTTCAAAAAGTTCCCAAAAACGGCTTTTTTGACTGTTTTTTCAAAAATTTGCCTGCGGCGCAGAAAATTTTGCCAAAATAGGGGCAAAACAATCAATTTGGTCGACCTAAAAAAAAAAGGTCGTCAAAACTTTCGATTTTTTTTGAAAATCCGCCCCCCCCCCCCCCTCGAGAAAATCCTAGATCCGCCCCTGAAAATAGTTAAAAGTTTCTATCATTTCAGTGCAAAAGGACGTTGACAATTATAGACTAAGTTGCTGGTTTTACACCCAAATTTTCTTGAATTGTAGAAATCGAACTTATGAACCCTGTTCTTTAAAAAACTTGAATAGTCAATTTTTGAATAATTATAATATTGTTGACTTCAATAAGGCCCTTTACATTATCTATTTTTGTGTTTGAAGACGAGACTATAATCTTCATTTCAATATTAGCTTTTTGTTAAGCCTCACAGGAAAGCAAAAATAGTATCTCTTTAAGATTGTTTTTAAGATGTATTCTTTATCTTTTAATCAAAGATGGACCATAATATTCAGAATTGATTCTTAGTTTTGAAGTGTCCTCGTTTGTTTTATGACTTCCGTTTTCAAGTCATTCTTCTCATCTTCATTTTCAAACAGAGGACTTTTAGTCTTTTTGCTTCTTTCTCTCCTTCTTCAAGTCTTTTGATACATTTGGGCTTTCGCTTTTTCATTTCACTAATGCATTTTTATGAGACGTGATGATTTAACAGCAGAGTTGGTCAAAGTGCTCGGACATGCCGTTCTTTTCGGAACGCGCCAATTGGACTAAGGCTCAGTCAGCCTAAATTGTCATTCTATCTACACAAGCGTCTAAAGCAAGCCCAAAGCTTAAAATCCGCAAAGCATTGCTTTTTTTTTGAATTTTTTAAACCATTTTTTGAAAAACCTTTTGAAATTAAAAATTAAAATTCCATGTGATTTATTGATGCTAAAAAAATTTTAATTAAAATGAATCTAATGCGGAATTTAATTGTTCGGCTACCTGGGCAGTTACTTTGTTCATATTTCTAAGTTGTGACTTCCCGCGAGACACCCTCAAGTTTTTATCTGATAGAAAAGTATCATAAAATGCTCGGAAGACTTTAATATTCGTTAGCTCCTTGCAAGTTAATAGACCTTTACTATCTTGAGACTTCTCCGATGAGAATAAAGTTCCTTTCGATTGACTTTTTCACTTTTCAAACCTTAAGATAGAGTTATTTGAATTTCGATGGAGCTTTGTTAGACGAAGTCCCAAAGGAAGCAGCTCTTCCCCAAAATGATGTTGCTAGTGCAATAAATTTGAAAAGAGTTCTCTAAAGAAGTTATGAGTTTAATGCTTTTTGAGTCCCTGTAGACTAGTATGTCTTTTGTCGGTGCCATAATATTGATTAAATTTAGCTCTTTGAAGAGCAACCGATAGCAGATTTGAGTGGGTTTAAGAAATATGCCTTAGGGTTAAAAAAGGATTAAATTGAAAGTTATTGTTCATCACCAGGTCATGACGAAGGTTTTTTTTGGAGACGAAGTCCAACTTCGCATTGCTTGATTGAAAAACAAAACAAAAAATCATAAAATTGACTCGTCATGATTGACTCTCTGAGCTATTTTACCTCTCCTATTCCGTTTCATTCATTTGCACAACGAAGCGTAGTGTTAGATTTTGACATCAATTATGTTCTTATAGAAATAATATATTAGGATTTTAAGATTTTGGAAACATAGTCTGCTCATGATAACATGAAACATTTTGTACCGAATAAAGACTTCAAACAGAGTAATCATTCTTTGAGAAAAAGGATCTCGAATTTAAGTGTTTTTTTGTTCTCAAATTTGTTCTCAAATTTGATCACTCAAATTTGATCACTTGTTCTTCACTTTGATCGCGGTTGGAGGGGTCCCAGTGTCATCAGACTTTTCAAGGCGAAATGGATGTCATGCCCCTCCCCCACGGTTGCTACTGCTTTGAGGACGACCGGGGCTAAAAAAACTCTTCATTCATCCGTTCATTCTGAGAGCTTATTGAATAAATTATACTTGAGCTATCTCACTAAAGAGGACAAAGGTCACCAAGATTAGCGAACTTGTCACCTTTTTGTTTGTTTTCCTTGTTTATTCGTTTGTTTTCCTTGTTTGTTTCATGTCATTGTTTGTGTTGTTTGTGTGCAGAGGCGGTGGTGGGTGTGGTGGATGAGAGACTGGAGGTGGAGGAGAATGCTGGCTTCATCAGAGTGGACCTCATTCGCAAGGGGGACTTGTCCAAACCCACACGTGTCTACTGCTACACCACCTCGGGTAATCTTTAGCTAGTCTTATAGAATGCACATGACATAAGAAAGAGTTAATTTCTCCACATCAAAATTTTATGGAAAAAATTTTTTAACATTTTGAACAAAATTTAAGCAAAATGGATTTGATATTCATATTTCTACACTCTTTAAATTCGATTTTTTATCAGACCCGTGAAAAATTTTTTTAAAAATTTAAAATGCTCGATTTTACGCCATCATAAATTTGGGTGTTCCTGATAGTCTACTCAAAATAAAAGGTTGTCCAATTCAAAGAACGTGAAAAATAACGATGAAAACTTATTGTACTCGAATGTGCCACTGGGATATGCTCAGTGTTTTTTATCCTGGGTCCCTCGGGGTCTTTTGAGGTTAGTAGTCCACAAAAAAGAATGATTGCGTATCAATATAAATCCAATAAGTTGGCTCCCCCTGGGCGCCTATGGAGATAAGATCTGAATAGAAGAAGGTTTGCAAATAGACCCGAGGAAGTATTTGTGGCACCCTTGTTTGTTTTTGATGCAGGAGAAAATTTGGACCCGGAAATGTACGCTATTATGACGTCAGCATTTATACCAGAAAAAAGAAAGGACGATGGAAAATTTACTTCACCTCTTTGAACAAAGTTCAATGTTTAAGTGGAAATCACATTGTTTGAAAGCCATGTAGATATTGCGACTATAAACAAAAAAGTAGGTCTACACTCCGAGATCAAAACTACATATACCAGCAAGCCAGGTTGCAAGTAGATTGCTTTAAACTATCTATTTGTAGTCGTTTCTGAGCAAAATTTTATTTCAGAGCTTAAATTAAAAAACCTGAGGGAGAAATTCAAGATAATTTTTTTTTCACTATTGAGCTGTACAAATTATGACTGTAAAACACAAAAAAAATGCAACCAGTTTTATCAAATGTGACATTTTTCTTTTTTCGTACAATTTTTTTTATTGAAACAGAATAATAATAATAAATAAATTGAATTCCTGCAAAATCACAAGCCTCATAACAAATTTAGCATCAAAATCTTTACAAACAAATAGGTTCAAATGAAGCTAGCAACTCTACATAGGATCAGTCACATGATGTCAATTTGTTTTCCAGACACGGCAGTTGAAGAAAGTCTCACTAACGGTGTAGTTGGTGACTTCAAAAAACTTCCCAACCCCTCTCAGCCCCAAGAAGTCCTTTTCAAAAGTGGACAGAAACAGGCCTACTGTGAAGTGCAGATCATCGATGACTCACTTTATGAACCCCTCCCCCCTGAAGAGTTTCACGTGACCCTAGCTACGAAGGAGGATGGGACTTTTATTGACTCGATGAGTCAAGACTGTCTTGTGAGAATTCTGCCTGACTCGAAAGATTGTAAGTGAATTACTAATAGCATACAATTTAGTTTTCGTGATTTGCTGATTAAAATGAAAAAAAAAATTAAAGCAAATTTTCACTTATGGGTGGAGTTTTTAAAGTGTAAGTTCATTTTTCGAAGTTGAGCTCAAGGAAATCTGAAAATAGGTTTTCGATTACCCTTTGGGTCGACCAATGAACAATCAGATATTCAGATCATCAAAAATGTCCAAAGAATGGATTCTTTATTGACCTGCAAGAGGCGTTCCGAGAAATTTTACGCCCTGCAAAAAAGATTTTAACTGTGATAGACAAATGATAATGCGGTACACCAAACCAAGATTGAATCCAAGCCGTTCTTATTAGAAATTAAGGTTGGCTTTTGATACCAGACGAAAAGTTAAGCAAAAGACAAGAATAAATGTAGTTTTTTGGAGGTGGTTTTGTCTCTTTTTATTGTTCCTACTTTTGAATACTTAGAAATGCGGAGTACTTATACTTCGATGTTTTTTAATTCAGTCAATACTCGGCAATCGAAAAAAAAGTTTTCACCAAAAACTTCTAGTACCTCATTAAAGAAATTGACTTCTTGAGTTCAAACTTAAAAAGATATATTAATTACTATTTTTTTTACGTCTAAGGGTTCGAAAATTGCTACTTTGGCCATGCTCTGGACTAATTTCTGCATGCTGTGAAAACTTTCTTCATCATGTTGAAAACGTAACGCGAATTATGTTTGCGTATCAAGTTATCCCGCTCCCGCTTTACCAGACGCATTTACAATCGCATTTGTACGACTCAAATTTTGACAATTGATGTTTGATATTGTCCAAAACTTACGGTTTTTGATAGTATCTTCACCAACAAATATTCGATACTAATTAATTCAGTCGGAACAATCAGGGTCTTGCCCTGATATTTCTGGAAGTCTTGTTGCTCCAACTTTCGAAGAAAGTGAGGAGTATACATGCTTGGGGTAGTTTTTTTTCTACATTGAGACTAATTCTACAAAAAAGTTTGGATCGACCCCGGAATGGCGGATTGTCAAGCGAGTGTGGTTGCCACTTACCTAAATGCGGTTAGAGTTGCTCGGTTAGTAGTTTTATTCCGCAGTCCTAATCGTTCAAAATTGAATTGAGGCACACCAAATGGTCATATTAATTCGACCGAATTTTTAGCAAATAAAGTTTGACATTTTTAGTTTTGTTTTTATTGAGTCAAGTTTCGACAATCAAAATAAATGTTTTTTGCCGATCAAATGTATAACCCATTCAAAATATCAACTCTCTGTATTTAAAAAGATTTCTTACATTTGATAATTTTTTGAAAAGTTCTGGAACTTGAAAAAGGCCAATTGGCCAAGTTCTGGGTTAATTTATGCTCGCTCTTAAGACTTTTTTATTGCTGAAAACGTAAAACGATCTATTTTTGAGAGAAGCTAATCGGTTGTATTATTTCCAAGAAAGTGACGGAATATTTGTGCTCGGCGTATTTCTTTAGACAAATTTCGATTTTGTAACTACAAAATTTTGACGAAATTTTTTTCATCAGTCAGTTGGTATTGTTGTTTTGAACTCAAAATATTTTTTACTTGTACCATGTTTTTGTAAGCTTATGAGGGTTTGAAGATTGCCAATACTACCAATTTGGGACAACTCATGCTTGATATATTTCGCACTATTACCGCGTAAGCGGAGATTTAATCGCTCTTAGAAATTGTTCCAAATTGGTTGATGCAGGCTATTTGTTATGATTGCTAAGTTACTAGGAGCTAAATCTATCACGATGTTCTTAAAATAGCGTGTGGGGATGATTTAAAAACATCTAGAAAAATTTTTAAAATTTTTTTTCATGTTTTTGAAAAATTCATCATTTTTTGAAGCAAACACTGCTCCATAGACCTTAAAAGGCAATTGGAACATTCAGGGCTTTGCCTTGATACGGGAAGTCTTGTCATTTTTGTTTTTGATTTTGTCCCAATTTCTTTTGGTCTTGTCTTGTCATTTTTGTGTTTGATATTGTTCAATTTTTTTTTTCACCAACAACTAAGTGATACCGATTAAGGTGCGGTCGGAACATTCAGGTCGTTGCCCCGATATATGAGCATACCGGTTTTGATTAATAGACGAGTCTTGTTCAAAATCTACCGTCTGTTATCAATTTATATAATCAAAGAATATGAACTTTGACGCGGAAAAGTTCTCCAAAAAAGACAAAAGTCAAGCCATGTGAATAAATGAACAACATTGCTTTTGTTCAACAGTTTTCTCTTGGGAACAACTTTTCCCAGAACAGCGGGAGAAAAGGAAATAACTTCCTGATAATTTATTCAGTCTGCGTGAAATGATTTTAGTTCTCATAACAATGCCGCCCTAAATAATACAAATGCAACTGTTTTCAAAAACTAATCAACTGTTTTCTAGCCACATGCTTAGAGGAAGTAATTCGAAGGTACCTCGGAAAGTTGCAGATTGAATTCGAAAGAGCGATTTTTTTCTTTTTCTTTTCAAGGTATGTTGAACTCGCAAAGCTCCTCCTAACTTGATACCTTAAATAGATTAGACTTTCCTGCAATCTTATCAAAAGTTTCAAATTCCATAAATAATTAATTTGAAAAGTTACAACATGTTATCATTCGTATCGACCTTCAGGTATTTTCTGGTACACAAAAATGAGAGCAAACGGCAGTTCCTTTATAACCTCCTTTTGCAATTGTTTTGCTAAAGTTTGAGATGCTTTTAGATTAATAAAACAGTGCTGTTGTTTTTTGCGTAAAATGAACCAGGAGCTAGCCAACAAATGAACAATTTCTCAGAACTAAGCGCACTGTATTGCCTTGAGCGAGAATAAGAAAAATACATATGAAAGTCAGTTGTAAATTCAGATGCTAAAAAATGTAAAATCAGGCGGTATCACGAAAAAAAAATACAATAAACAAAAGTGAGAAAAACTTGTAGTCAATGTCAAAATAGCACCTTAGTTCAATGTCAATCGAAATTCGTGTTATAAGCTATTCAATTATGTCCATCCCCTGAAAAGCATGGTCAAAATATTATCAGACTTTTGCAAATAGCTAAAGGATCAAAAACAATGGGTCATATCAAGATCATGTCTCGACTTTCAAAAGCTTCAAAGTGCCTCTTTAACCCAATTTGTCAATCTTTTTTTCATACTCTAGCTGTTCGTATTAAACTAAAATCCCAGTCTTTGAAAAGTTTGCACGCCACTAATCCTTTCCCATTTTGACCCCAATTTTAATCAACTTCGGGCTTAGAAAGCTTGTCAAAGTTTCAACCAAGGCATTATCTTTTCTGCTAATCCCTTGATCTAAACACAGTCAGACCGACCCGTTTCTCAGAACATTTGGTTTTCGGCTTGAAATGTTTCAAAATTATGAGCTAATTCACGCTTGCTGGCTCAAAATTTATGTGTCTGTTTATTTTATAAGCAGTTGTGAAAAATTGAATCAGTTTCTTGACAAGCTAGCTGAAGGTTCTTGGGTTAATTTTGGCCTGTCAGTTAGAGGATGGATTAAAAAGCTTGATTGTGACAAAATGCGATATTCAAATGGGTTTATTCAAATGATCTTTGGCCAGTCTACTTTGCTCCTTAGATTAAAGTTTTATGCTTTAAAATTGGAGAAAATCCAGTGGCTCTGAAATGATAACATGTGTAAGTTTTATGAGGAGCTAAATCGAGGTTTGTATTTATTGAGCAATTATGTTACCGTAAACCATAAAAATATAAATTGAAGTACTTTTTCTTCGAGTCGTTTTCTTTTTCATTTGTTTCATAAATGGGTTTTAATTTTGAAAACTACCAGTGAAGAAACAAAAAACGTGGACTTTCAGAATGCCCTGATTCAATCTTCGATAGATTTTTGATCTTTCATAAGTTAAAGATTTTTAAAATTTTATTACGAAAATGTATGAATCTAAATTTGTCCCGTTTATTTTTTTCCACAATAGATATACCAAGTTGAATAGCGATTTTTTTCTTCCAGGGATTCAATGAGAACAGAAAAACGCAAATTGAGTAGATTGATTCAATTTTTTTTAATTATACAAGACGAACAAGCATTTCTAGTATAATAATGAAACTTGATGGACAAGAAAAAATAGTTGGTCTACTCAAATGTTAAGGAATCTTAATGAAGAAAAGGAAAACATTTTCTCTATTTACGCGAGTTCTGAGAGAGAGTTTCTATTGAGTTTTTAAACCTTGAATACACATAACTTCAGAGAATTAACTTTTGAGAGAATTTTAAATTGCTGTTTTTTCTTGTTTCGTTGCAACCATGGAAAGAGTTTTGATTTTACTGACGAAAACTAGTCTTGGAAGCTTCATTTAGCGCTGTCTTGGCAAAAAAAGTTTTCTTAAAAATAAATAATTGTGCAAAAAGTAGAAAAAACCTAGAACATGTCTTAAATGTTTTTCAAATTTAAGAGTCAATAATAAGTGAAGATCGACTCTTATATAACTTGTTGTGGTTTTTTTGTTTGTTTTTTTTCCGAAAAATCTTGAAATGCTCTAATAACTACTCACTTGCGTTCATATATATTAATGCATCTATGAAAGCTTTCAAGTATGTATGCATTTTTTGAGTTCAATTCAAGATAGTTTGCTGAGAGGTAGGCAAAATTCGCTCTCTAAATACTAATGCGCAGATGGTAAGAAACGACGTGAAAGACTTCTAGTTTCGAGATCGGAATTTAATTTAAAGAATTATTAGTGGAACAAAAAATAACCCATTGATCCAATTTTTTCAAAATGGGTTAAAACTATCAAAAACGTGTCAATCATAAATTGTTGTTAATCTTACAAAAACTCTAAGGCCATATATAATTTACTTCAAAATTGGAAAACCTAAATTTTCTCAAAAACTCTTGACTCTCCTTCAATTGCGTGTTGGCTGTTGTTTATTGATAATCTTTTTTGTCGATAACTATTGTCGATAATGCCTGACTTACTAACTTTCTACTCGTGTTTATAACACTCTAATTACTTACTTTATTTGTGTGCGTATAGTTTTCTGAATTTGTGAAATTGAAGAGTTTTTTTTGAAAGTTTTGTTCTAGTTTTTTCTGGTCGGATCGTTCTGGGCTTCTTGCAACGAAACCGGCTATCCTCTATTGGGTGAAAAAAACGGTCTGAACTTTTTTGCCTCATGACTGTTTTTGAGATCGGCGTTTGAACGCATCTTTGTGATCAGTTTTCACAAAACTATAAGGGTTTTATTTTGAGACTACTTTGACGTTTATTGTTCAAATTGGGATAAAAAACGTGCAACTTTTTTGTTTTATCAAATTCTATGACTTCGTTCTTCGTTATTTAATCCCTAATTAATATGTTTGTTGTGTGTGCTGCAGTGCCTCTGATTGGCTTTGCCGACACTGGGGAGTTGAAGGTGTTGGAAAATGTGGGCAGTGTGGGGGTGGAGTTGTTCAGAAGTGGACCAGACACCAGCCAGACCTCATCTGTGCTGGTCACTCTCGCAGACTACACGCCACTCAAGGGAGAACAAAAGTATCACAAGGCATGGGGTGAGCATGTAATAAATAGCATTGTAATTGTTTTGAACGCTCTAAATGAGGACGGCGAACTTGTCTTCGGGTGTTTTTAAGTTTTTTATTACATTTTTTAAACTTTTTTCCGCAAAAAAATCAGATCTCACAGGTAATTATCAGAATAGGTTGAGTTACATATCATATTGAACCCTTTGTAGTCAGTGATTCGAACGACATCAAGAAATTTTCAAGCCATGGGATGAATAAGTAATAAAATGGATTATAAGTCTAATTAAGGCAAAAAATTTATGTTTTTGGCTCACGGCTCTGTTCGTTTTCGTGAACCGACAATTCGTTATAATTATACTAAACTATAATTTAAGCCTCAAACGCTAATTTATGCGCACCAGTCCCTTCGTGAAGGATGTAAGCGAAGCGGAGCAAGCGTATTCTAATTGCCAATGCCTTGTTACGAATTCTCGCTCATTACGAATTGTCACTTGTTACGAATTGTCGCCCTACCGTTCGTTTTTAAGGTTTATGCAGTTTCTGTTGCAAAAATAAACATTAAAACAATTTGAACTCGGTTGTTTCTACCCCTTTTTATATCATGTAATCGCATGATTTTTTCCAAAAAAATATGATGGCTTTGAAATTTTTATCAAGCAAAAACGATACACTATTTTAGGCTCTAACTTTTAAAACATGATCTAAAACATTTTTTTTAGTTGGCGAGGACTTCGAGTTCGATCCCAAAGGCATCCGCGTTGAGTTCGGTCCGGACGAGATCTCGCGTATCTTCTACCTCACCATCCTGGATGACGACGAGGAGCAGATGCCCCTTTTGGAGGGGGGAGAGGGACTGAGACTGAAGTTGGCCTCTGCTGAGGATGCGGCAGTGGATCAGCGGAAGAGTACTAAGTTACTGGTGGTGGATGACTCCAGTCTAGACAGTGAGTTTAACGAGGCTTCTGATAATCTGAACACACTAATTGGACAATTATTACAACTAAAAAGCTTTAAACAGTGGTCAAAAATAGCTGTCGAGGTTTCGAATCGAAAAACTTGCAAAGATGTTAAACAGCAGATGCTCTGAAGTCATGTTAAAATGATTTTTCATGCCCGTCCTTTGGGGATTCGATCCCTTGATCATACACCCCCGATCCCCTTTAGTACTACCTTAAGACAAATTCTGATATCTAGAAGTCAAGTACATGATACCTTTTAATAATGTTAAAACAAGGCTAGTAAAATATATCTGCTTATAGGACCTCACATGAGCTTCAACAGTTCTCAGTATGTGGTGTCTGAATCAGCCGGGATAATCCAGATAGGAGTGATTAGAAGCGGAGATTTGGGTGCGGACACTTCTGTCGTCTGCTCTGCCACAGACGGATCAGCCAAGTCACCCACAGAGTTCAAATACGTTAGTGCATTTGAACTCAATGTAATCATTGTTTCTTTTTCAAGCGACATGACTTCAAAACGCAAGACTTCTGTTTGATCCTATATTTCATCAGATGATTATTTGTTTTACTTGCTTTTACGGCTGATTGCTTCGTTTTTTTCTTTATGCTCTAGTTTGTTTGCATTGCTTTAAGTTTAGTCTACTCAAGTCATTTCAAATCGGAGAAGAATTGGACAGAGCCCTCTTAAGTTTTGACCTCAAATTATTTTCGATTTTTTAAAAAAGAGTCATTAATTTGGCATAAGCTGTATTGAGTGTGGTTAATTTCAAACATTTTCTCTATAAAAAAATTGAATTTCAGGTTTCCCAGAAGATCTCGTTCTCCAAAGGAGAGTTCTTGAAGTACTGTGAGGTGCCGATAGTCGATGATTCCACATTCGAGGACTCCAAGGAGTTCTTTGCCATCCTCAAGGATCCCAGAGCTTCCAAAGGGTCTCCGGTTCCAGTGAATATTGGACCAATCGGGAGAGCTACTGTACTTATCACGGACGATGACCGTAATTGAGTTTCATTTATAGCTGTAAATTTTCAATTATTTAGGCTGTTCTTTATTATATTCGGTTCTCTAAGGTACTCTAAAGTAGATATCGATTCCTTTCTTTGTCCAATATATGTTGTTTCTGGGTTTATTTTTGATATTTTTCATACAAAAATTATCTGTCTATATATTTTTTCAATGAATCATTCATTTTTGAATTGTTAAACAATTTCTGGATTTGCTTTCAGGTCCCAAAGTGTTCTTTGGACAGGAGAGATACCGAGTGGAGGAGTTTGAGAACAGGAGGAACTTCCTGGACTTGAGAGTGAACAGGAGTGGGGATCTGTCCTCCCAGATATCGGTGGGAGTGATGTCTGCCGACCTCAGTGCCAAAGCAGACCTGGACTACGTCAGAGTGGATCAAGGTAGGCTGTAATTGTGTTTTTAAAAATCTTTTGTGTAGTCACAGAAAAAACTGAAAAGTAATCACCATAGTCTCAAAGGCAAAAATAAGCGCCATAGTCTCCTTGATGTATCTAAAGTTTGGCGATAAAATTTTTTTTATACTTTGTTCCTTCCCGACTCGTTTCGGAACAAAAACGAGTAACTTTGCGCAACTTTTAAACAGATTCTTATGTATTTTAGAACTGTTAGTCATCTTTCAATTTTTGATGTTCTAAATCTCGATAAATCTGTTTTTTATATATCGGCAAAAAAACCAATATTGTTTGGTTTCAAAACTTTCAGATAGATTTTTAGTTTGTCGTTTGGTCAACTTGCCAGGTTACTCTTTAGTCTGTATGCATCTCCTTTGGTTTTTAGTATTCATCTTCGGTGCTGGCGAGACAAGCAAGCAGTTGCGACTGGAGGTGCTTCCGGACAGTGAGTGGGAGTTGGTTAAGAACTTCGAACTCATCCTCAAGCTCATGAGTGACTACTCCACCACGCCCAAAGAGTCACCAGAGGTCACGGTAAGGTCACACAATATGTCATTAGCAAAAAATTTAAAAGAATCAAGTTGTGTTTAAAAGAGGGTGGTTAAACAATCCTCTCGTGATGATCATCAAATCACTGCAATCAAATCATCAATCATTTTTTTCCCATTTCATGTTCAAAAAAAAAAAATTTCTGAACCTTTTAAGCAACTATAGTTTACTACAAATTATAGCTATTACAAAAAAGTCAAATTGTTTTTTTAAATAATATAGGTTGAAAAATTTGTTCCGAAACAAAGTGTCAATATCATGGAAAATCCATTTGCGAAGTTTCAGTTAGAGAACAATGTTGTCCATCTAAAAAACTGAATTGAAACTTTTCCAGACTCCTCGAGTGCAAGTGGACATTGTAGACCGTGCTTATGATGAGAGTGTGCTCAGTTTTCCCCAGCAGACCAAAGTCATCTCCCTCAAGTACCTCTCTAGTCCCAGACCCCAGCAGACCTCCTCCTCCTCCTCTTCTTCGTCGTCTTCTTCTTCATCGGCCTACTACCCTCGATCGAGCAGCTCGTCTAAAAATCCCCTCGGAGGGGGAGGGGGCAGTCGGCTAAGCGTAGTCCACGCGGGGTTCCCAGTCATCTGTTTAACGGTGAGAAATGTTTCTTCTTCTGGTGAAATTTTCACCTATTAGCTTTTTTGATTCGCAAGTTAGCTTTAAGTTTACTTGTTAAAAGGATTTTTTTGAAGAAAATGAAGCACTATTTAAAATTTGATGACGTCTGTTCACGTCTTTTTCAACCAGTAAATTAATATTATACTGATGTTCATTCTGAATATCATCGGTTGTTTTTGTCCAGGGCTGTGACCCTCGCTACGACTTCTCCCTCAGCAACAACACAACCGAGAACAGGTACCTGGACAAGTGTCGACTGCTGAACAACTCACGCACTGTCTACAATTGGACAGTCTACGACAACTCTTTTTCGGGGACAAAAAAGGGTAAATAAAAAAATATATGTTTTTTTTTGGTTATGTTTTGATTAGATCAAGTGAAAACTCGTATTGAATCGGGGCTGTGTTCACAGAAAAATCTTAAATCCGATGCGAGCCCATCAGAGATATTATTTATAGAAAAATGTAAACCTCCTAATTCATTGTTTTTTAATTTACTTTTAAAAAAAGCATTTCATGTGAAATTTGCGTATCACGCTTAATCCACCATTTAGCAATAAGTTTTTCTTAGACTTTACTTAACCTAGATAGAAATGGTTTTTCAAATTGTCCAGGAAGGTATGTGAATACCAGCCGCGGTATTTTGGGCGATGGAAGCAAGGCAGTGCTGGATGCGGCCTACCTGTATCCGGGTCAGACAGTAGAGTGCAGCGCCACTGCGGTCGGCAACAATGGACAAATGGGTAAATATACGGGTTGTTCGTTTTTCGCCTGAGACAGATATCTTACCTCTTTCCAGCTAATAAGTATCCATTACAAATATATTAATAAAAGTAAACATTACAAGCTCATCGTCGTCTCTGCTTCCTGATTTTTTTTCGGTGTTTGCAGCAATTAGTTAAATCATTTTGTATTTTACAAGATTTCGAAGGTTTGTAACTCAAGTTCACTTAAGCGCTAACTGTTTGCTCAATTTAGTATTTCAATCAAGGGTCTCAATTCACTTTGAATCTGATTTCTTCACCGGAAAACTCTCTTTTTAGAGACATTTAACAATCCGAATATTGAACAAAACATGGCAGAAAACATTTTTTTTGCAGGTAAAACAGAAAAAAGCGGCCCGATTGATGTTGTCATCAATGAAGACACGCTCTGTGTGCCCCAAGGCAGATCCCAGGACTTCTATTCCTCCCCATTGCCTGATGTGTTTTTCACTTACAACGACAACAAACGCTACTCGAATTTATTCCACGTCAAAGCTACCATTCCTCATATGTTTGGTCTTATACCTATTGTATCAACCTTACCTATGACACAATTAGTTGCTAATTTCAACTCTGACAGTTTTGACACGGAAGACACTGAGGTCAAAAATAAAGCCGAACTAATGTGTTCGACCCTGAAGTTTCTTCTACCAAAAAAAGACATTACGCTCGACGTGGGATTCGAACCTAGACCTACTGAAGAGGCGTATCTGAGTAGTAGATATGAGTTTAATGAGACGTTGAGGGGTCCGACGACAGTGCAGATTTATAAGAACTTGAATCTTGCCCAGTGTGAGTGGTCTTTTGACGGCTACTTCTCCTTGTCAGACTTGACTCAAGCATGTGGGGCAACTCAGACTAAACAGAAGTCGGTTAGTAGTTCTTTCCTTGTCTGTAATTTTGATTTTTGACAAGAATGTCCAAAAATGGGCTTCAGAGTATCTCAAAAAAGGCGAATTATGTTGGTGTTTGTAAAGAGCTGTTTTTATCAAGTTTCATGTACTGTTATTTGTTCCATTATACATAAAATTATGATAGAGATAGAGCCCGGTTGATTTTTCAGCTCCCCTCGGCGACCATGTCCCTTGTTGAACTGATCGTACCCGTGAGAGTGAACTTCATGCGCTACATGAGTAACAACTACCAGACGAGTAACAGCAGAAAGAGCAGTGGAAATAGTCTAGGGTGGATCTCAGACCAAAAAGATGTCAGTCAGAAGTTGGTGTTCTCTTACACAACCAAAGGCATGATATACAGAAACGAGTGGTCTTCTGGGATACCCACGTTAGATGACACGTCCTATAAAGGTACAAATCAATGATTTTTCTAATAGTTCACTTGATTTGCTTTGCAGCTTTTTCTTAACATGAAAAGCTTCAAACTGTTAATTGAAATGGTTTTTATCAATAATTGTACAGAAAATTTCAGTTAATTACAAATCTGTTGAAAATTTTGCCAATTTTATGCTTAAATGAACGCGACCATTTTGTTTAAAAAAGAAAAGTCAATAAAAGCTCAAATAAAAAGTCAATAAAAACTGAAAGCACAATTAAATAGTCGGAACTGTTTTTATCCAGGTCGTCTCTACATGAAAAAGATAGTGTTAGACGACGAGTCGCGTCTACACATGTACTTCAGCAGCGAGGTCATGTTCAGTGGGTGTTACGAGGTGCAGATGAACTCACTTACCAGTCAAGTGTTCCACCCACACAACGACCTCAGACTGCAGTTGAAGACCACCCAGCAGGGGTCATGTGTGCAGAGACACTGGGAGGTCATTGCCTCGTACCAGGTGGGTAACAATTTTAGTAATGATTGTGAATTAACAAAAACAGTCTACACTTAGACAGGCGTGATAGCCTTTCCTGGATCCTCTGCGAATCGCAGAAGCAACAATTAATTAGTTTAAATGTTTTCAGGCTTAAAATCAGAAAAGTAAAAAGTTTTGTACAATTTACAACCAAGTCTAAACCCTGAGAGAAGCTCATTAGACCAAATGAGCAGTTTTCAAACGCTTCTGTTCCAGGTTAATTAAAAGGACACTAAATAAAGAGATAGATGTACATTGAAACGAGCTGAACTTCAAAAAATGTCTGATATTCTTAAATGTCTGAAATTCTTAAATGTCTGAAATTCTTCGTCTGGATAGAAGTTGTTATTCGATAAAAAATTTCAATCAAAAGTCTTTGCAGATATTCATTAGTTGTAAACATATTTGGTCAGAAAATGATCTAAATAGACTGTTACAACTTTTAAATTACTATATTTAAAAACGATCTTTAAAACCACGAGATGTTGTTTCTTAATTAGTTTTCAGCCTGCAAAACGTTACTTCAATTTTTCAAACGCCTTCAAGTTACAAATTTATCATAAGTTGAAACATTTGAACGTTGACCAAATCTGTTTCAGAATCCGGTAGCCGGTGAGCTCCAATCCAAAGATGACCTCACAGTCCGTGGGGACTTCAGTGGTCCCTACACAGTGCGACTCATTGCGTGTGAGCGGGAAATGGGCGTGTTCAATGCACCCTGTCGACTGCCACGCCCTGTGGACTTCACAATAGATGTGATCAAACAGACAGTCCAGGGTTCCATGAGTCAGCAGTATACTTATGGGTCGGGTATTCAGTTCAAGGGCAGTAAGGAGTCACAAGGGGTCACCAAAGGTCAGTGGAGTTCAAATTTTACCTGAAAAAAAATTAAATTTGTTCTCAAATAATAAATGCCCGAAGTTGATCGATTCCATGCAAATCTCGGTAAAATTTAAAATTTAAAGCAAGCATCGTTTGAATCTGATTTCAACGAGTATACTTTTTATATCGAATATACGGCATTAAACAAGCGCTGCATATCCGGTATAAAAATGATTACTTTTCAATTCGAAGAGCTAAATGTTCGATACATATCAGTTTCTTCCACAAACGAGCATACATATTAATGCTATCGAAAAAACCGTTTTTCAAGAAGAAAACTTCAAGTCAAGTTAGTTTACGACGTCTCAATTTGACTCATTTTGCAGGGGGAATTGTGCGACTGACACTGACCAATCCGGACCCATCCCAGTTCCAGATGTCAATCTACAGAGTCTATCTGTGTCAGGGGGTGCCTGGATACATACCCCAGTACAAGCCAGAGGCTAGAGAGTACGGATGTCTCATAGACAGCGCACTCATCCAGCAGAGGAACAAGCTATACGTAAGTTCAATATACTCTTGGTGCGAATAATTGCTTTTTTGTTTGGTGATAGTTTGAGATCTCTAGATTTTGTATAATTTTTTTAATATTGTTTTCAAAGCAGAAAGATGTTTTTTCTTTTTTATTCTTGATATGTTTTTGAGCCTTTGGACCACATTACCTCACAGAAGCGATCCATTGGTTTCGTTTTTTTAAAGAAAACAATCATAAATCTCTTGAACGCGAGCAACGAAAGTGCATATAAATTTTACACAAAATTTATCACGAGTCGCTTTTAGGACGCAGACGATGACGTCATGGCCCAGACTGTGGACCCGTTCCAAGTGCAGATCAATGGACTCACTGTCCAATTCTCATCCATGCCTCTGTTCAACACTCCCCTAGAAGACTCATCCCAATCTTCGTCTTACAATCATTGGGTCATCCAAGTCTTATTCTACAGATCCAAAGAGGTCTTCAGGAATCGACGCGAATCCAAAAGTGAATCAGACGAATTAGGTAAAGAATACTACACAGAATTTGCCGACGATAGGGGTCCCACTACGACTTTCGACTCGCCTCAACATGCGACTCTGTCTCGATTCGTTCGACAAGAAAGCCCTTCGTCTAACTTTGACACTATGGCTTCAGTTCCAAAAGAGGCAGCATCAATCGGCAACAAAAACAGAGGAACCATTATTGCGTTTGTACCGTTCGTTGAGCCGACGAAAGAGAAAACCGACCAGAACCGACAGACTACAAACATGGCCGAAGTTGCAGTTCCGATTGTTCCGATCATCAGTGTTTTAGCTATTGTATCAGTCGTTGTAGCTCTTGTTATTGCAATTTTGTTAGCCCGACGTCAGAAAAACAGATCACGTGCAGCTCATTATAAGGACAAATGTTTTAATGGACACACGGTTCCTCCGCCTACTATGTTATATACACCTGTGCAAATAAGCGAATCATATCCTTCATCATTCCCACCTGTAACTTCAGCACTGAAACAAAATGACCCCATGCGGGCGGCCACTTTACCCACGAAAGGTCGCTCACATAAAGGTCAAGTTATGTTTTCACCCCAAGTTACGACTATTTCAGGGGGCGAAGAGTATATTGATCATAATGGCGTTTTCCGCACAATAGGAGGATACATGGAAACTAGTGCTTAAATAACATTAAAAATCTATCCCTCCAGAAAAGTTCCAAAACTTTGACACGAAGTCTTTTTTGGCAAAAAAACTTTCTCTGTGTCAAAAACCAGGTGCTATTATATTTAAACTTTGTTAAATTTCCGTAGTTCTGTTGTGTATATTTATATCTTAAACCGTCTTAAAATGAACGACATTTCAATTATTAAAACTTTCACCTTTGCTGCCAATTTCACACTTCGAAAATCAAATCTCAAAATTCTTAATTAATTTTTGGCTTGCAGGCCAATGCCAAATTCGCATTTCGATGTTTCGATTCACTTAAATTCTTATTCGGCGAAGAATTGTTGGCGTTTTTTCAACTTGATTTTAGGGTTGTTCAAATGCCCGATATTTTATGTTTTTCTAAAGCATATTTGTCGAGTCTGATATGTGCAATAAATGCTAATTCATATATATGTTAATTCATTTTCATTGAAGCGTTGAACTTTTTTATAGCGCTTTAACTAGCTCAAGAATAAAAACAGTGTTTTATACAAAAGCAGTGTTCATGTTCATCAATCTGTTTGAAGCACCGGAGGTAGAAGTTGCACGCTAGTTAATAAAAAACAGATGAGCCCCCAGATCTGCCCTTACGTTTATTTAAAACGACTTGGGATGCTAAAAGCTGCAATAAAACCTGAACGAAAGAACAATATTTACAATTTTTTTGCGTGTAAATTGCCAACGTATAAAAAACTTTTGAATATTCATATGTTGTGGTTTTTGCAGCGGATAGGAAACTGAAAGAGAGCCGTAATCAGAGATTTTTTTGTGTAAATAAACCTGTCAGATTCTTATTGTTGGGGTCTGAGTCTCGGCTGGACCTTGATTTTGTTCCGACCACTGAAACTTTGTAATCTGGGGCGTACTAGCTTTTGTTTTTCTTTGTTTTCGGTTTCCACGCAAAATTAAACAACAACAAATAACCGAATTAAACGTCGGAAGGAAAGATATAGCATATTAAAGCTTTTGCCGATTGAAAATCATTTAAATTTTTTTCAAAAACTTTGAACTTTGTTTGAGTTTAGAACTATATTCAACGAATTTCAAGAAAAGTCTTCGCGCTTAATTTCTCTAATTTTTGGTTTAGTTTCGAGCAAATACAGCGAGCGAGCAGGCCTACAATTTAGAAAAGACGTAAAAATAGTCTTTGAAGCTTTTTAGCGAATTTTTCAAAATGATATAATCTCAAAAAAAATTACTAAAAATTGAAAAAAAATGAAGAAAAAAAAGTTTCGATTTTTTCTAAAATTTTTGGATAGTTTTCGATTAATTTTTTTGATGAATGTTTTTTTTATTCATAGAATTGAATTTTTTTTTAAAACGTTTTTGTTCAGATACGCTCGTAACGAAGAAAAAAACCTTAAAATTTTGTATTTTGCATTTATTGGAGGAATTGGGAAACTGGAAAAGAACCGTAATCAGAAACTAAACTTTTTTTCCAAGAAAAACATCCTGTGATGTTTGGCTTTGCTGTTAGTTTTCTTTTTGTTTTCTTAACTAAATTTTTTTGATCTTACTGTTAAATGTATCAGTTTTTTAGGCTTTCACTCAGATCAGCTCTCAGGCAAACGAACTTTTGCAATGGATTTTTCTGTGCTACTTGCACAGCAACGGGCTATTTCTATTTGTTGTGCTTTTTTGTTAGTAAGAGTCGTTGAAAGTAGTGAAGACGCATATAAATATGTCGCGATGTTTTTTGCTGTAGTTTTTTCAGGAAAAAAAGCATTTTAACTTGTTCATGCTTAACATTGATTTTGTACGATTCATTTATAGTTTTTTTGAAAACTCAGTTCTTTTCCTAAGTTCTAAAAAAAAACATCACTTATGAACAGCATCTACACTAACAAACAGCGAACAACTTCACTACTGACCTTCGAAGGAATGCGGAATATTTATGCTTGAGGTGACTTTTTATTCTGTCAGTTTTCGACTTTTTTGCGAAGACTTTTTGATTGACTTTTTAATATCATCTAAATGATAATGTTTCTTGAAGCGCATATGTGAAAAGATTTTTTTTTTACTTCTGATCAATTTTCCTTAAGTTTTGAATAATTGAATTTGAGACGGAATATACCTCGGCTCTTTTTCCTCCCCAGAGTGCACAGAGAGAACTGGTCCACCAAACTTTCAGGGACACATTATTCACTGGAAAAACAATGAGAGTGTACAACTATAATATAGTTTCGAAAGGTCACACCATATGACAGTGAAACAAAACAAACTTGCATTATCACCATTCGACTCAAAACGTTTTCTACTTTTCGACGGAATTTCGACAGTGCCCTTTGGCCATAAAGCCGCTGAAGAAAATCCTTTTCTAGAAGACATTTACATGGACACCGAGTGGGCCAACTCATACAATGAAACTGATAACAGTTCTCCCGATTTTACACTTCCGGATTGGGGATTTTTACAGCGGCCCTACTCAGAAGCAGAGCTGCAAGAAGAAAAAGAAGCTTGTAGTAGCCGAGTCCGTGAACGTCCCCCTATAAAAAAACCATTTATTTTATCTGAAGCTTCAGAAGAACGACCATCTAAAAAACAGCGCAAAGAAAACCAAAACAATAAACATTAAAGTCTGAAACATATATTTTCAGATGATTTTTACTGTTCGTCCTTTTTATACTTCGACTTGTATATGTTTTGGTTTTTACCAATTTAAAACTAATAAAATACTCGTATTGAGCTCAATCACTGTTTTAACATAAATAGCTTCAGGCAAATAAACTAGTAGACGCAAACCAAGTGTTAATTCAAACAAATGTGTGAAATCCTTAGGCTTGTTTTCAATAACAAACTTTAATAGCATGACAAATCTTTGACGAAAAGAAAGAAAGCCAGGAAATGATATCCACATGAAACTAGGACGAAAAAGAAAAGTTTAGGAATTAGGACGATTAATTTTAATTATCGCGGGAAAAGGGACCGCTTTAAAAGGAATTAGAAGGAATTATTGTATCGCGTCCCGGTTGTTGAGCTCAGCTTAACAAGATCCTAAGGAGGGGGTCTTTTACTTTAGGGGTGGGAACTTGCGATCATTTACAAAATCCTAGGATAGGGGTCCTCCAAAAAATTAAGGACCCCTTTCCTAGGATTTTGCTTTACGTGAGGACCCCCCCCTTAGGAAGGACCCCCCCCCCCCTTAGGATCCGGGACACGATACAATACTACTAAGGCTATTCTTAACGCAGGCTCCAGTTCATGAAAAAGTAAGACAACAGTCGTTCAAGAAAAGTTCTACTACGTCGTTCCACTAATCTCATCGCTCTAGATAAGTCACCATTATCGCGAGTATCAATTTGATTTTGTTTTCAAAACACAATTCACTAATGAACTTTGCAACCACTCTCGAAACCTGATATGCTCGTCTGACTCTCAGTAGGGCATGTAACTTTATGAAATTCTGCGGCAAATGACCTTAGAAAGTCAGCTGTATTTCTTGGTAGCACTTCTGTCGGATCTAATTTCGTAACGTCCAACCCTGGTATTTTAAAATTAAGTGAATACTCAATTTGATGCACTCTTTGCAACTTGCCGCGGTAATCTGGCATTGTCTATTCATATCCACAACCCGAGTTTTAAACAAGCCATTTGGTCTTTCATAACTATTATGCCATCGGAAGTATGAAAAGTATTCGAAAGTTGTCGGAAATAACTACCAAATTTAGTGATATTGTTCAATTCCTTTTTTGAACATAACCTCTATAATAAAACTCATTTTTTCAACCGTTTTTGTTAATATTGCAACAAATTCAGCATCAAAAACTCCAAGCCAATCAAAAAAAAACGAGGAAAATTTTTTGACCGTATAGCCTACAGTTCAGTCAAATGCTGACGAATTGAATCTGTGCCATAGAATTTAAAAGTCAACAAATCCCCCTAGCATCCGGCCTCGGGTTATTTGGTATCTCTTCTCTTTTTCAGTCCTTTCCAATAAATAAATTAATTTGCAGCTTAGGCCTTGCTCTGATTACTTGTCAGTTTTGGTACAACAGTCACTTTCAAAACATTCTTTTTGGTGCAACAGTCACCTTCTAAACGCATCAATGGTTTTCTTTGCCGCGCGTTCTTTCTGGTTATGTAACTCCCGCCAAGTTTCTGGTTCTGCAAACGACGTCATTTTGAACGTTCTTCAATTCAGTTTTCTCGGTGACAGATGGCGCTATTAACCGAGTTAGTTCCCCAGTTGAGCGGCAACAAAAGTATTATCTAGTTCATATACTATTTATATTTCGGCGTTTCCTACTGCATGCGGGGATAAATAATCCTCCGCCAATCCAGCCAAGCAGTCTCGTTTGTGTAGTATTTGAGTTTTTTTATTCGGAAAAGCATACTAAGGAAGCTTTGTGATCTTGTTCGGCATTGGTTACGATTGAGCCAGAAATAAACAGTTCTGTTAATGAGTCACTGACCACACAGCTGTCCAAATTTCTAGTCTTTTGATGCCGTATTTCAATTCACCCTCAATCAAAAACCGCGGCGAGTTTAGAATTGGTTTCCAATCATCTGCATGAATTTTGTTATTTCAAACGAAACTACTCAAAACAAGATTGCCTCATTCAAAACGAAAATGGAAGGCTTTTTCTTTAGTTCCCTAAATATTTTAGTTGTAACCGTCAAAAGAGGTATGAACCGTAGAATTGGTAAGTGAAAAAGTAGAGTGTTCTTATATCAATAGTTTCAGTTTGTTTCGCTCGCATTTTTTTCGCAAACATAGTACCCTTGATCTATTTTACAGCGACGGTTTTATAGTTCAATTTTTTTCAAACCCGGGTGGCTGATAAAATATCCTTAAATAATATAATGGTTTTCAACATAAACGTAATTTTGATTCCCCCCACTACTGAAGTTGCACTGTCGTCTGGTTTCTTTACTAAGAAACTAAAAGGCATCTGTGAGTACGTGCTTCAGATTGTTCTAACCTCAGTTCTCTAGACTGGCAAAACCATGTTTCCCAAGATTTCTCCTTGGCCTCGTTCAGTGATGTCAGACTCTGTGCGATGGGCTACCCAGCTTTTTGACTCTAACTTGACAAATAAACGACCGCTCGTTTTCATAATTTTGCGATACGTTACTAAACTTCGGAAAACGTTACTAAACTTTTTTGGAACTGTTTCGATACCCACAATACTAACCCGCGTCTTTAACGCATGGTATTACTTTAGAATATGATTAACACCGGTCTCGCACAGTCAATCTGGAAGCCTGTTGGACCTTTTGTACATAACTTCTCCGCGTTCTCTCACAACTACAAACTGAAGCGCATCACTTGGGCTTTAAAATTCCATGCATCTTTAATTCTACTTAATAGATGGTTCAACAAAAAAGATATTACTCCTAATAAATATAAAGACATCCCGCTTGCTGGATTCTTTTTTTCATCCAAAATTGCAGCCTCGGATCAAAACGCTTAACGCTCCCAAAACTGTTCCATGCTCTCGTTCTCCCTCTGTTTCCGACCGAATCGCGTAAATTTAAAAGTAATGACTTTCGCTTTCTTCATGGATGCCTCTGACGCTAATTTCCACAATTCAAAAGAATTATTTTTGACAGTTAACCTATGTGGATACTTTTGATAAAGGACTGCTGCTTTTATTTAGTTTCTTGTGGGAACTCTTAATTAGAACTAGCAGTATCCATTTTTGAGCGCATTTGTTGCTGCCTTGTTGTAGCTTTAAGAGTATGCGTAAAAATTTTGATTGATTTTAAACATCCTTGTCTTTAAGGATATCCAAAAGAACTAGGTTACCAGGATTAGGTTGTGCGGTTATTGCGTTTGCTTTTGAAGTGGCAATTTTTGATTTCAATTTCTTGCTTTCAATGCTTTAAAAGAGAGCCAATTTTTATAAGGTTGAGTTTTTCAAAATTTGTTTTTTCTTTTCTTGGTCATTAGACACCTAGAGTTTTTTGCTAACTGTTGGTGGGGATGAGCTTTGATTTCGAGTGCTTCAAACCATTATCATTTGAAATGCAAGTACCAGCTACATACTTCTGATATTTATAATATGTGATGCAGCGCAATTTTTCAAATGTTTTTCTGTGTCAATGTTTTGTGAGTTTTTCCGTGTCAATAACATTTTTTTTAGAAGTTTCGAGTTAAAATTTTTTGAGCGATTTTAACTTCCAGAATTAACTCGGCAAAAATTGATTTGGGGCTGACTTCCCCACTTTGTTGTTCCAGAAAATTTTGAAAAAATTTTTGATAGAAAAAATTTAAAAAAAATTTGTTTGAATCTTTTTTTCCATCTTGTTGCTCGAAACGCTCTGTACTAGTTGCAAAACAATTAGCTCTCATTTTAAAAAGCAACATCTCAGCTACTGGATACTTAATACCAATCCGAATTGCTGTTAAAAGCTGGTATTACATCAATCAATTCTTTTACCCGAGTTGATCAAAAATGCTACTCAATCAATTTTGATTTATGTAAAAATGCTAGCCATACTTTTAATGCAGTCCATGAAAACAAAAACATCATGACAGCTTTTTTACTTTTGATTTTTCTTTTATGGAAATTGTATGACAAGCATTTTCCCCTAAACACAACAAAAATGTTTTTTTTTAATTTTAATTTCTCAAAATGTTTTTGATGTGTTCGTCACCGAACACAAGAGGCAAAATCCTTGGTTACTCTCTTACTCGCAACAAGAATAACCAAACAATGCATCGCAAACGACCTGAAATGTCTTAGTTTTGTCTTGAACAAAGGATAGAATGAAAGTATCAAAGTTTTAAAAATCGGTAAAAAATCTTAAAGGTTATTTTTTTTTCCAAATTTTACCCCTCATTAATCATACATTGATCAAGGCATACAAACAAAGGTGTTTTGGGCTTTTTTGAAACGTTATTCTGAGAAATGGAATTAAAATAATTTTCGTGTATCCAGGCAATAACTCCAGGAAAAAAATAACTTTCGTGTATATCAGGCTAGTCATAAAATTTTCAAAGAAAAGGTTAGGCATAGTTTCTGGAACTGCACGATTAACATTTTCGGTCTATGGAGATCAACCCGGATATATACCAGAAATGATGCCCTTGAATCTTTGGGAAAAATTGCGAGGTCAAACTATGCATTTTGTGCATTCTAAGCGGATTCTAGAACAGTCCAAAATCAGATTTGTCGCGGAATCCACAACATTGTCATTTTTTTTTATCTTATTAGCTGTTTTGGATTCCACAAACAAATAGCTTAAACACTGTATTGCTTAAAATCGCTCTAAAAACATGCATTTTTGCGGAATCCGCAATAAAGTTTTCGGAATCTGGATCAGTTTGTGGAATCCCCAAGCAAATAATCATATATGTGTTTAGTAAAATTACGCTGTCCTGGAATCCGCAAATTGTAAGTGGAAACCGCAAATTGTAAGTGGAATCCGCAAATTGTAAGTGGATTCTGCAAATTGTAAGCGGAATCCGCAAATTGTAAGCGGAACCCGCATAAATTAGCGGATTCCACGTACATTTGCAGAGTCCGCTCACAGTTGCGGAATCCAGAACTACTAGCTAAATTCTTCTTTTGCGGAATCCGCGACAAAACAAATGTGCCGACAAAACTTACGTTCCAAGCATTTGTACGCGGAATCCACAGAAATATTGTAGGTGGAATCCATTTACATTATGGAACATTTTTTAAAACTAGTCTCTGGAATCCAGGAACATACAGACACAAAATTGTGCGCCTATCCAGTGCACAGTTTGGCCTTGTAATGACGTTTTGTTGCTATTTTTCAAAGAAACTTTACCTTAGGGATGTAGGGCTATTTTTTCTTCCTACAGAAATTTCCTACGAGATATATTGTGCTATCATATTAAATCCTTGTTAGCCATGACCTGAATACCACAACAAACAACAATGAAAACTACTATCAAAAGAATTTTTAATTTATAGTATATAACAATTGTACGTTTAATTTTTTTGCTCCTTTAAAAACAATTTTCTTGTCCAAGTCGCTGATATTATAATTGAGGCTGCAATTTAAGAAAAAAAACGCTTTTTTTAAAAAAAAAAGTGGCTCGCTTTTTTGTCGTTTACCCGTGTATTTATTTGCTTTGACTAAGTGCATTGATTGATTACCTCGAAGTTGCAATGTGACGCGTAGGACAAATTCCAAAAATTAATATATTTTTAATTTCTTATCGGTAATTATTTCGAAACTTTTTCACATGCCGTTTTATGAGAAATTATTAACTGGCACTTTTTTCTAGGGTTGCGTAAAAAAGAGAGAGTGTAGTCGGAAAACAACTGGGGAATGAATAAAATAATCAAATTTTACTAGATTACAAAAGCTAGACTTCAGAATCAAATAGATTACAAAAGGTATTACCACGCAGTTAGGATTTCAGAAAAGTATCAGCCATTTAACCCAAGATGTGAGTAGAAAGAAAAAGCAGCAACAGTTAAGTGTCAAGATGAAGTAGATACAAGTATTCAGTAGAGTTGAAATGCTTTTTAAACTCAGAAACACAAAGATCAGTCAATCTACTGAAGATGCAATTCGAAGCATGGCAGAATTCTGTTCACATTATTAATAACGATTTCCGAACCCCTCCCGTTTGCATTTGGCGCAATTTTGTGTGAGTCACAAGAGCACAAATTATCAGGTCCAATAGATCTCCCACAATCCCCTAGTCGCGATTTCCCAGGTAACACTTTGCAGAGCAGTAGTTTTGGAGCCCCTCTTGCATAGGAAAGGCTAATATCTGGTAATTCGGAGAGATAAACTCCCCATCCATAAGCGCAGCTTCTAAGCTTTCTTAGATCGAAGTTATTTCGAGCAATGTTGTCAAGATTGGCATCAGTTGGAGTTCCGTGGAAAGCTAAAATCGGTTCTCCTTCCTCTTGGTTGGGATATTTCGCTTTCATCAGGGCACATTCAGCAGCAAACTTTGCCTCCAAGGCTGGATTTTGGTGATAGTAAATCGCTGCCAGTTTTCTGTTAGAAAATTGCGGGTTTTGTATCAATGAATAAAACTGGGCTGCGGCCATTAGATAATTCTGTGTTTCGGCATTATCGATTCCTCGCTTGTGTTTCAATTCTATCTTTTGATATCCTCCCGGTCCCATTGAGGACATTCCACTCAAAGCGTAATTAAATCCGGACATCACAGGCACGCCACGCTTGTTGTAGTGTACAATGTATTCGGGCAGAACCCTATCCGGGTCGAAAACCACAAACTCATCAAACAATACACCACCAGTGTCTTTCGTACCACGAGGAGCAAAAATTGAATCGAATCCTTCCTTTTTCAACTTTGCGCCATTTGCATCATCCCATGCTTTATCGCATTTTTTAGTTTTCCCGAGACCTACTTTACATACTAGCAGCATGTTGCTTTGCTTCGTATATTTCTCTTGCGCCGATTTTGACGAATCAGTGGCCAGATAAACTCCTGGGCCATACATGCCTTTAGAAGATGGTTTGAAACCATTTTTGATAATCTTTTCAACCGCATCCATGTCGGTGCCGTGAAATTTCTGGTCTATATAACTGGAGTCAAACATTTTCATAACTGCTTCGTGGAATTTGGCAGACAGTTCGCTGTTTTTAATTTTTTCGATTTTTTGAATCATCGGAAACCAATTGTGAGTTTTCTGGACACTTTTCAGAACCATGTCTTCAACTTTCATGTACTCTGCCGAAGTTTCGCCGTTTGGAGACAAAGTTTCTCTGCTGAAAGTTGTAACTGCCGAGTTTCCAGTTTTTGCATCCTCAAGTTCTTTTCTGAACCGCTTAGCTAAATCTTCATGCTGCTTTTTCAACTGCGCATTTCTTCTCTCGTTCTCAATCCGAATTATTTCTTTGCATTTTGAGCAGTTTTCCTTTTTATCTGGACAAGCTTGCCAGCACAACTTATCACAAGCATGTCCGCAGAACGGAAGTATTACGATGCAGTTTTCCAGGCAATTGTATGACGCAATGGGGTCTGAGCACCTTTTCGTACCTGGTTTTTTGCATTTCGCGCATATTATCTGAACGTCAGATTTGCACTTATCTTGTGAAAACTCTTGATGGCAGTACTTTTGCATTGGACCTGAACAATCGCGACAAAAGGTGGGAACTCTTTTTCTACACAGTAAGTGTTCATGTTTTGGTTCACACTTTTGATCACACGCGTGATCGCATCTCGTGAATTTGATTAGACACGGTTTCCCACACACGATATCTTTTGGATCTTGGAAACATTTCCGGTTTCTTTCGTGAAGACATCTCATCAAGTCATTGTACTTGATGGGATGTTTACATATATCATGCGAGTGGTCTGGCTGGCACAACATGGGACAGAGATGTTTTCGACATGATGGCATTAACATTCCGCACGTTTTTTGGCAGAAACTCTGCGGTGGGAAAACTTCAGAGTCTTTTATTTGAATTGTTGTAATTAGTCTGTGCTCTTCTCTTGGGCATTGTATAGTAAAAACTGAGTCCAGTGAATCATTCAAACGCAATTTACTCATAAAGACTTTCCATTTAGGTTGATCATTAAACATTTTGTCGTTTCCGATGAAAATGCAGAGTCTTTTTGCTCTAGACTGAGCGACACAGCGCCTGTTTAGTTCTTTCATGAACCCAACTTTGCCTGAATTATTTGACCTTGTCAGTGAAATTATCACAACTTCATTTTCATCACCCTGATACATGTCGATTGTTTGTATCTGCACATTCTCTGATCTATCCATTTTTTCGGGAAAACAGCTTTTCTGACCCTTTTGAAGCTGTTCGAGTTCTTTTCTGATCAATCCCTTTTGACCTTTATAAGCTGCAATAATTGTAATTTCTGAAGGTTTGAACCCTTGGCCGACAAGGAAATTAGCCAACTGACTGCAGCGTTTCGCTTCTTCGATATTAGTGTAACTTCTCTCGGCCTTTTCTATGCAATCGTGAGTCCAGAAGAAAATAGATTTTGGGGTGAACTTAACTTTCCGGATTGCAACAACGTTTGGACCGTCCTTTAAATCGGGATAAATGTCAGTTAGGTAAGCCGATATTCCAGGTCGCATTCGATTCTGGAACTGTAACAGAGCATAGGGCATCTTGCCAAGAATCAACCTTTCCATCATTGAAATATCAAAATTATAATCCTTAATGAGTTCGAAGCTCTCGACGGAAGGTCTCAGTTGCTTATGGTCACCAATCATGACCAAGTGTTGCACGTATGGCTTCAGGAGCGCCGTCAGTTGGGGTTCCAGAACCTCCGCCGCCTCCTCGACCACAACGACACTAGGTCGCAACAGGTCGATGAGGTGTCGGTTTATCGAAGCACCTGTAATAGTCATCCCGATTACCCTGCAATGACTCATAACACTATAACTGAGTCTAGCATCTAATTCCGATTTAGCATCACAAAATTTTTTGAATTTTTCAAGTGCCCCAGGAACACTAACATCATCGTCAGATCCATCAGAGTCCGGATCCTTATTTAGCGATGCCAAAATTGCGGACTGGATTGCAATTAGACGAACTCTTAGTGGCATTTCAGAAATATTTTCTCTGTCGCTCAAAATTGTACTGGGAGATTTTTCGCAGAGATCGGATGCAAAGCTTTGCAACTGCAGCGCAAGTGGATAATTTGGATTGTTTTGAGATGCCCTCAACCTTACAGCTTCATTTGAAAGTTGTTTGAAGTCTTTAAAGCCGGAAGACTTCGAGTCAGCTAGAACTTTAAATCGGTCCATTTCCAGATCCAAATCGTCTATATCGTCATCGTCAGTGCTTTGCTGAGCTTGTCTCAAATTCTTCGTTGGTTTTTCAATTTCAACTACAAACTCTTGCTCAACTTCTTTGACAAACTTCTCATTCGGAAGCCACTGCCTTAAACTGTGGTCAAGTATCAGCAGAAAGTCGTCAACAGCGTCTAGGCAATTCGGACCCAGAGCCAGTGCTGCCTTCAAATCAGAATTAGGGAGTCCAAACATTCGACACTCGTCGATCGCACTTTTGCAAATTTTCATTATTTCTGAGCTCGTTACAGCTTTGCCAGTAGTTATAGTTTTGAAAACCATGAGTTTATTAACGGGAATGTTCTTTATCGTCGATAAAAATTTCCAAATTTGAGCTTCGCTCAAGAATTTTGACGCAAAATCCAGAGTGGTCAGACTATATTTCTTCGAATTGATTTCGAGAGCATAGCACAGTTGACGTTTTGCTTCATCTAGCTTCTGATTGGTTTCAAATCTTTCCGCTTTGAGGGCAGAAGGCACTTTTCCTTGCTCAAATGCAACACCTCTCATGCTTCGTAAATTGGTCGCTTCCAGCTCCGGTGCTTCACTTCGACCTCCGATTCGGCAAATTTCTTCGGAAGGCAGAAAACTCAAAACACGTTTAAGAAACTCATCAAGCGCGTGATTTTTGTATGTTAACAGCAATACTGGTCCACGTAATTTGGGCTGCATAGTCATAATCAGGTTGACAAATTTTGCACCCAAATACGTTTTTCCACAACCGGGAGGTCCCTGGACAATCGCTATTTCATTTTTCAGCATGCATCTCAGTGCCAGTCGCTGGCTGTCGTCAATTACTTCGGATTTATTGGATTTCAAATGCGACGTGAACATTAGTGCATCATAGGAAGTAGGTAAATTCGGATAAATTATGTCGTTGTTAAAGGTGGCGTTTTGGGTCTGTAAATACTTTGGGACATTTGATGGCACCAGTGACACTAATTGTGGCTCGAATGCCAGACTTTCTTTATCCATGAGCTGCAGGTTAGCCAAAACTGGCTCATGAGCCTTGAAGTAAGTTGGACTCTCAACCAAACTAAGATGTCCGCTGGCACAATCAAGTTGTTGCAACACCTGCTCCATAGACGCTTCATTGCTGGCCTTTGACAGTTCCAGTGCAAACCCTAAAGTTCCCTGCCTACTTTGGGATCCTTGGGAAGAAGACGAAGAAGCAGCAGGTTTAGGTTCTTTCTCACGCATGAAGACTGTGGCCCAAACGGAGTCTTGGAAGGATCCGGAGGCAGATAGACATACAAGGTTTCCGTACTGCAGGTCTCCATTTCTGATGGTCTGTCCTGGTCGCAAAGAGTTCTCGTCCAAACTCATCACTAGAATGATTCCATTTTCACTCAAGGTGATCCCTTTGAAGTGAACTCTCTTGTATACAATCATGTCTCGAAAGTCCAGTTTGTTCTCCAAAAGCTCACTGATTCCAGTTTTTAGAGCAGCGAAGCAGTTTTCACGTAGGAGTCGGAAATAAGTATCCAAGTAATGAGAGACTGAACTATACGGCTCGCTGGTCAAAACCGGCTGTAGTCTTCTGTCCTCGGAGCTCAATTGGCCAAAAAGCTCTTGTGATGTTGGGATGTTTGGCAGTTGATCCCATTCTAAGACCCGGAAATCGGAACTGTAATCTTCACTTCCACGAATGACATTTTTGATGCATTTGATCCAGTGTTTATCATACTCTTCGCGAGCAAATTTGTCCAGCATTGGAATAAGAATTGATGTTTTCTCGGGCTGGAATTCTGTTACATTTTGGAAAAATATGAGCAAAATTGGCAAGAGGTAATTGAGTTCAGCCTCATTTGGAGTACCAACTCCAAAGAACTGATAGGAATCCAAGAGTGTTTGGAAGAATCTTCGAACATGATGTTTCGACATGTTACCATAAGTGGCCACATTATTGGCCACTACTATTTTCTGAAGAAAGATTTGATAAAAATGAGATGGCGGTTCTTTCGTTCCATAGAAAAACTCCCAAATAGCGGTTGACTTCAAGTAAGAAACAAGCTTCTCAGTATTTAATGCATTGCTCGACATTGGCTGTATTGCAAAATTCATATCCATAAAAAACTCCAAAACTTGTTCAGTATTTCGGGATGTTGTTATCTCTACAATGGATGCCTTTATAGCTTCTGGTTTTTGAGGGTTCTTGTACCCCAAACGTACTTCAAGAACATCTCCCTGTAGTAGATACTGGTCAAAAGGAGTGAGGAGGTTTCGTCTGATGAAGATGTCCTTCTGAGTGTACTCTTCGGGTAATTCTTGATGAGGCCGGCCAAAAAAGTGACCTTCACACACTGCGCATATGTCAACAAGCACTGAATCGGCGTCAGCTTTGCGATTACCAAACCTGCAGAAAAACATGAATATCTATAAGTTTCTGGTTTTAAATTCCAGCTTTGACTAACCGAAATCCTCACACGGAAGCAAAGCTGATTTGAATTGAAAAATTAGAAAGAAAAGACCCAAAAGCAGTGTCGGATCTATGGTTTTCTCGAGGGGGGGGGGATTTCAAAAAAAATCGAAAATTTTGTCGACCCCTTTTTTTAAGTAGGCCAAATTGATTGTCTGACTTCTCAATCAATATAAAGACCATATTTAGACTAAATTTTCTGCGCCACAGGCAGTGTTGGTCCTTTAATAACACAGTACGTTTTAAACATGTTTTAAACACTGTTTTAAACGTCTGTCAGCAAAAGCGTGTTATTTTCTCGTGTCATAAATGACGTCATAACAAACCGGCCTCCGATATGTGCTTGAGATTACTTGCAATTGTTCCCACCTCGGCCGGCCTCGAAATAGTTTTCTCGACGATGGGAATGGTTAAAGACGGAAAAAGAAACAACTTGGACAGTGCAAAAACTGCAAAACTTCCATTTTGTATGCGTGCTCTTTATGATTGAATTTCATTTATGAACATTTTTGCTCAGTTTTTAACTTTGACATTTTAAACATTAGTGACGTTATAAACGTTTTAAACGTCCTCTTTCCCAAAATGACATAAATTGACCAACACTGGCCACAGGCAAAAAAAAATAGGCCAAAAACCGCGAAGTTTTAGGCCAGAAGACCGCGTTTTGTGGTCAAAAATAATTATTTGCTTAAATGTGTAATTAAAAGAAAATGAGTGCTTTCAATAAATTATTTTTAAAAAAAATCAAGATTGCTCGTATCGGGGCGACGAAGCACTGAAAATTTTGACTGCTTTTTTAAGGCCTATGGAGTAAGGTACGCCTAAAAAATAAAGAAAAAGTTTTTGTAAAATTTTTGAGATTTTTTATATCATCACCCCACACGCCATAAAAAAAAACGAAGTGATAGACTTCGCTCTTATTAACGTAGCAATTGTGAAAAATAGCCTGCTTCAACCAATAGCCTGCTTTGAAACCCGCGATCCGGTAAGTTGAAATTTGCCCTCAAAATTAGTACACGTTGGCGTCAAAGGCGCCTTAAGAAAAGTTTTAGGGCCAGTCAGCCAAACATGGATATCTCAAATTTGTACAAAAAGTGGGGAACCCTTTGGATCGCCATGAGGTCGAATCACTGAGGAAGGGGGAGGCGTCCGTCCACTCCTCCCTCCTCTTAAATGCGCTACTCCCCAAAAGCTCTAATAACTCAAGAAAATACTATTACTGTCAAAATAGGTTATCCTAATGGCTGTTGATTTTTTTGGTGCGGTTTTTGGTCCGTTCAAAACGTTCTATTTTCTGAAGCTCGAAAAAAAATTTAAAGATAAAAATAAAAACAGGCAACAATGAAGAGCGCTTAACTCAACATATATAAACAATGCTATTCAAAATCTGTAGTGAACAGTCATGCCCGAGTCGAGATTTTTCACCTAATTTGAAGCAAGATTTGAGCGGTTTGAGCGGTTTCTTAATACAATTACGCTCAAAATCTTGCTTCAAAATGAGCGGTTTGAGCGGTTTTTGAACGGTTAACAATTTTTAACATTATTCTGAACATCTTGCCTTTTATGAAAAAATGGTTATCATACAATTTTCATATATGCAAATTGTATGATAACTATTTTTTTAGCTTCAAATTAAATTTTCGTTTTTGATGAGCAATGTCCTATCAATTGAGCAAAAGCACTCTTAAATAATTTAAATTTGTTTACAAACACGTTTGAACAATTTCTGAAAATCTTGCCTTTCATGAAAAAATGTATGATAACCATTTTTTTCAAAAAAAAACAAACGTAGTTATTTTTTATCACCAGACTGTTGTATTTGGTTCAAATAGCCGGAAAAACTAGATTGAATCTTTTTTCAATGGTTTTTTGAAATTGTATGCAAATTGTATGATTAGCATTTTTCCATACATTTGATGCAGGCAATTGTATGATAAGCTTTTTCGGTGTGGAGAAAATTAAAATAAGCATTTTCGGTTTATGGATGTCAACCCGGTGTCACATTACCTTTCCAGGCCTTTTTGTTGGTGTTAATCGGTTTTCTTTACAAGACCGCTCAAAAACCGCCCAAATCTTGATTGAAAAACCGTTCAAAAATCACCGCAAGAAATGAGCGGTTTTTTAAGCAAGATTTGAGCGGTTTGAGCCGTTTTTCCAAAAAAAAAAACGCCCAAACCGCTCAAATCTTGCTGAAAAACCGCTCAAACCGCTCATATCTTGAGCGGTTTTTGAGCGGGATCTCGACCCGGGTGTAGCCACGGAAATTCAATGAAAAATTTAGAGCATTACAACATATTTAAAAAAACTGGATTGTAATTTCGACAGAGCAAAATTTTAAACTGCAAAATTTTACTTGTTTGGATTGAAGTTTGGCGGGCCTTGCGGATTTCTTCCCCCGTTTCGGAACCTTGAAGCTGACCTTCCACGTGATGACCCTGGTTGATTTGGCTGACCCCTTCCTCCTCTTTGCCCTGCATGATGGGTATTCGGTCGGCGAGATTGACTCCGTGCTCCCCCACGACTTCCTCTCCCTCCTCCCCTTCCTCCTCTAAAGGGGACCCCTGATGCACTTTGTCGGTGGGGACCACCTGCCCCGTCCATAGTAGTTGCAGAACTGTTGTCCTTTGAAAAAAAAATTTAAACTCGAATTTTATTATTTATTGTTATTTTATAGAAAATCTATAGCCGGTCCAGCAACTGATCTCACACCTCATCACACAATGGGTAATTTGGTATAATTTAAAAGTCTTAACTAGAGCCGCTCAATTCAAGTTTTTTTCAAAAAGCGCCAAAAAATATGCCTGAGGTGCAAAAATTTTTGAAAAAAAATTTGAGCCAGTGATAAGCTGTTTTTTAATGAAGATTATAATGTCCTCGGCTTCCCTGGCTCAAACTCTCAACAAGAGAAAAAAAATTATTTAAGACACAAATCTAAAATTTTCCGTGCAGATGTTCTTCCGAAATTTTGAAAACATTGATTTTTTCATCATTCACAAAGATTCACAAAGATTTTCCCCAAGCTTCTATTTTCATGCTTTTATATGGTAAGAGAAACTGTCGCCTGCAAAAATAGGTCACTATTTTTCAACAATAGATTCAATAGATTCAACAATAGATTCAACAATAGATTGAAATTTTTTCAACAATTTCAACAATAGATTTTCAAGGGACAATAGATTTTCAACTACAAAACTTAAAAAGAAAAACAAAGAAATTTTTATCCAATGATGACAAATGTAGTCTAGGCTGAAATTTTTTATCGCCTGAAACAAAATGATTATGAGTTTTTGATGCAAAACCAAATTTCTACTCTTTATGTTTTATAAGGTAAGATAAACTATCGCTTGCAATAAAAATTAATAACGATTTTCAACTACTAAATTTTGTGAAGTAAAAGCTTTCTGGAACGTACAAGTGAAAGTGAAGTTTATGATGTAAATTAGATGACAAATCAAATCTCCCAATCCAGTTTTTCTGTGAGATTATTGCCTTTCAACCAGTGCGCTTTTTAATTCAGACAATGCATCGTTATTGTGTTTTTGGACGAAAAAAATTTATAGCGAAACTCAAAAAAAAATTTTACCATTGGAGAAGTTGCTGGCCATTCAATTTTCATGTATGGTAAATTGATTATCATCATATACAGGAACGGATCTAGGATTTTCTCAAGAGGGGTGGATTTTCAAAAAAGTTTTGTCAACCTCTTTTTTAGGTCAACCATATTGATTTTCCGAGCACTCCCAAAACACTAAAAAGACCCTGTTTTGGCCAAATTTTCGGTCATGCAGGCTAAATTTAAAAAAAGGCCTTTTTTGGAAAACTTTTAGGCGTTTTTAGGAGCTTATTGGAAAATTTTGACCGAAAAAATGCGTTTTTTCGGCGCGCGCTCTCCCTCACATTTAGTATATATTGGCAACCTCTAGAAAATTTTAAGGGTCCGTCACCAAATATTGATACCTCAAAACAGTACAGAAGGGGGAACCTTTGGGTCGGAAAGGGGTCGAATCCCCGAAGGAAGGGCATCCGCCCTTTCGCCTCCCCACCCGCCCCTCCTCTCTAAATCTTCCCCTGATCATAGAGGTTTCAAATACATTTGTGTGCAAATGGAAATATCAGAAATTGTATGAAAAGTAGTTTATAACTTATCGAAATTGCGCTAGAAAGTTGGTTAACCCGGAAAAGGGCCTATTTTTGTTTGAAAACTTAGCACGCTTAACGATTATTTAATAGATTGATCCCTTTAAAGTGATCAAGTTCATCAGATTAAAACGTAAACAATACTCAAATTTTTAGTCAAGGATAGCAAACAGGCAAAGTATGGCATAAATTTCCACAAGCATAAAAAAATTCAAATCTTTACATCTAGCATAAAAATTAGCTCAAAACGAGCTTAAAACTCTAGTACTGTCAAAACTGGAGAACAAATTATCATCAAAAACAAAAAAAAAATCAAGTTTTACAAAAAACTTATGTATACGATGTCTTTGTTTTTCCCTTAAACGATCAGATTTATCACGTTTTTGATCAAAACTTTCCAACAGTTGATCAATTTTTGCCATTGTGTTTCAGCATATGATGAGCATATTTTTTGTCTTTTCTCACCTATATTATAATATTCCATACGCTCACGAATTCCTGTATTCAAAGTAGAAAGTCAAATCCCCCAAAATCCAAGTGGAATGCTTATTGCAGCTGTACAAACTTATAAAGAGTAGCATCTTTGATTTCATAAAGTTTTCGGGGCCGACACAAAAAATCTTGCTTCGAGTTTCGATATTAATGTTTTGTGGACAAAATGCTTAATTGTTCGACTTTCGAAGAATATTTGTGCTCGGTGTGGTTTTTTTGTTCTCCAGACAAATTTTGACTTTTTAACTAGCATTTTTTGACAAAAACTTTCTATATTTTTCAAAAAGTACTATAGTCCGAAACTTCAAAAAATATGTCAACTACTGGGATTTTTTGTAAAGCTATGCGTGCATTTCGTACTATTAACGCGTAAGCGGAGATTTAATCTGTATTAAAAATTGTTTTAAGTTGGATTGAGGCATGCTTTTTGTCTATTTAATACATAGCGTGTGAGAGATGATTTTCAGAAAAAAATTATCCCCCATTTTTTTCTTTCTTTTTTTAGAACTTCATCAATTAGTTTTTTAAATTACTCCATAGAAATTAAAACGCAGTAAAAATATTCAGGGCTTCGCCTTGATAGGAGCAGTTTTGTTCTCCTAAGCTTCAAAATATAGATTTATGCGTACTTGATTGAGTTTTTTTATAATTGAAATTTATTTAAATTCGTGATTTGATTTTTGGGATGGTTTTAGGCGGTGTATCGGTTAGCATACAGCTCGACTAGCTTGAAAGTTTAAAAACTGAAAATCGTATCGACTAACCTAAAAATCGAAACAATTATTCAAATTGGATCACTTTAAGTATTCTCCCTATCCTAGAGCAACTAGTAGAATTGCCACCCTTATAAAGAAGTAATTCAATGGTTAAGCTTATACAGATTTTGTACCTAGTAACGAATCTGCCACATTTTTGCCAAGAAAGGGAACAACTAACGAGATCCGTCAACTTTTCTCAAATTTTCAAAAATCATTATACACAAGAGCCTAGATTTAGGGAGAGAAGAGTGAATTGGACGCATTTACATCAAGGATTCAACCCCCTCATCAACCAAAGGGTCTCTCCTTTGGTATTATTTTATGTCCTCAAATTTCGGCGATCAACAAAGAAAATTTTCCTGAAGGCGCCTTTGGCGCCAATACATTTATTTTGAAAGGTAGCGCGCGCGGATTAACCACACAACTTCTCCCCCAAATCAATTGAGGAGGGAGACTACAAGAATTTTTTGTAAACCAACTTTGATTATAGACTATAGTTGTTCAAAATCAAACGTATTTTAAAGAAAACTGAATTAAAACATTAATTTGTGTAATTAAGAGCTTACAAATGCAAATCCGCATTAAAAAAATAAAAACCAAGTTTCTTTATGCATTTGTATTAAATGCAAATTTTATACATTATGAGACCAAACTGTGCACTGGATAGACGCACAATTTTGTGTCTGTATGTTCCTTAATACCAGAGACAAGTTTTTAACCATGGATTTCACAGACAAAACTTACGCCGATTCCGCGTACAAATACCTCAAACATAAACTTTGTCGGCAACTTAGTTTTGTTTCGGATTTCGCAACGAGCGAATATAGATAGTTGTTCCGGATTCAGTAAATGTAAGCGGGTTCCGCAAATGTAAGTGGATTCCGCAAATTTATGCGGGTTTCAATTCACAAATAGCACCATTTGGCCTCGTTATGTAAAGAATTATTTTTCAGAATTTATACATGCGTGAAGATGGCATTCTACGAAAGGATAGCGTTCTACGATCCGCAAAAGCTAAAAAGCGCAAATTGTTGGTCAAAAATCTAAGAAGTTCCCAAAATTGGCATTTTTGGCCTGTTTTTTTTTTAATTTTCATGCTATATTCCCCTTGATTATATATACAAATATACAAAAAAATAAATCAGTTGTTTTTACGCATTTCACAGTTCGTTCAGCACTCAGAGCTTGGTTCAAGCCACAACAGGTCGGGGTGCGACTTTTCACAACTTTTCCTAGCATTAAAAAATTTCAATTGCTTGCTGGTTGCTAAACGTATCCTGTTTTTAAGTTCTCAGCAATCTGAGAATTTCAATTTGAGAGGGTCGGTATTGTTGTTTTGTATTTCATAGAAAAAAAAAGATATCAAAATTATGCTAGTCGATACATTTTCAGATTTTCAAACTTTTAAGCTAGTCGAATTGTATGCTAGTCGAGCGATCACCTGGTTCTACTTCTACAAAAGCAATAACTTAGTAAGTTTGCTTTTTCTATTTTTCTTAAACATATAGTCTCTAACAACCAAGCAGCTCTTGTTAATCTCAGCTCTAGTTTTCGTATAAAAATCTGAGCACGCGCTTAAACACATGTTGATAATAAAAAATTGACTCACTTAAGAAGTGAGGCTGCAGCGGTGTCTGGCAAAAAAGATAGCATCTGCCGTTTTATTTTCGAAAATTAATTCCGCATGAAATATTCATTTCAAACAAGTGCGCTGAAGATACTGCTGGAGATTTTTTTAAAACGCATATCTAATTTATTCTCTTAATAGTGTAGTATAATAATCATAATTTGATATCGTTTGGTTTTTTGACTTATTAAATCAATTAGTTTGCCCTCGAAGTCGATTTCTGAAAAACTGGTATTTTATCTCTCTTAACTCGATTTGGAGGTGGGGGCATTGTTGTACGATTAATCCGACGGCACGCTAATAAGTGCCTCAAGGAAATCTTGGAGGGGGTCAAGGGTATTATGTTAGGGTATTAACGGTATTAACATTAATAACTTGCTAGTCGTGATTCGGATTTCGTCAATCAGATTTCGTTTTAATCAGTGTTGTGAGAAACCGGTATCACTTTTCCTGATTTTCATCCCAATTAACAGAGAGGATGAAAAAGAGAAAAGTAGAGCAATCACCTTAGTTCCCTTATTTTTGTATTTCTTCTTGCCCAACGCCTAATTATGATTTGGAATAGTTTTTACTGACAAAATTGGGGTCTAAATATTCTGCTCACAACAACTGGCCATCTCTATTTTTGCGGAAAATTGCCTTGTATTTGCGACGAGTCTCATTTTTGTTAGCGTTAATTGATAATTCGACCACCTTAAATTTGATCACCTGGCAATCAAAAATTTTCAGTCGCGCCGACTTTGAAGTCGCGCCAATTCACAACATGAAGACAAGCAAAACCGCAACTTAAATTATACAGAACAACTTTTCGAAAATTTCTTTTCAAAAAAACCTCGAACTGAGTGATGCATGGGTCTTTTCTGTTTTACACCCTCAAAATGATGCAAATTGTAATTGAGAAAATTAATCAAAAAATTGTGTCAACATTACTAGAAAATGTAAGATATTACAATGGGACTGATCAAAAAGAAGTCTTTTTTTTTACTAAATTTAGCGTCAAACTGGCTCTTTTCTCAGGTTTTTGGGCCGTTTCTGCGCATAAGTTTCATAAACGGTACAAAATGCGATTTAAATAGTGGTTTAATTAGCTTTTTTTAATCAATTTTCTAACTTCATTTAACTTTCCGAATATCAGCCCTGCCTTCTTAAGTAAAATCATTTCATTTCCATTTTTCATCATTTAGGTGGTGAAGGTGGGGGGGAGGTGTATAACTGAAAAGAACCCAATGCATTACGCAACCGTCACTTGAGGCGAGTAATAGTCCGCGGACCGTAAGGTTCAAGGGGATCCTTTCAAGACACTGAAAGTTAAAGTAAAAAGTTCACCAAAAACACCCCGGTTGACCACAAACGCTTGTAATGAAATTTATAAAAACGATTGCCAAAATAAGAAATGATCTCCCTAGTACCAAAACTAATCAAATCGATTTCTGATTGGTCGAAATGTGATAGAACGAATCAGTAAATTAGTTTTCTTCTGTTTTTACAAAGAATACGAATAATAACAAGACTGCTCGTATCAGGGCGAAGCCTTGAATGTTCCGACTGCCTTTTAAGGTTTATGGAGCAGCAGTAATAACATTAAAAAAATTAATTGAAACAAAATAAAATGAAATTTTTTTTCTAAAATTTGAATTTTTTTAATAAAAATCATCCCCCCACACGCCATATAAAGTACAAAAAGATAAATTTCGTTCCTTGTAACAAATCAATTATGGCAAATAAGCTTCGTTCAACCAATTTGGAACGATTTATAAGACGGATTAAATCTCCGCATACGCGTTAATAGCGCGAAATATATCGCGCGTTAATTGTCCCAAATTGGTCAAAATGGCAATCTTTAAACCCTCATATCTTAACGAAAAATGATCACAGGTGAAATATCTTTTCAATTTTAAGCTCAGGACAACAATACCTTTCGAATGATATTTAAAAAATTCCGCCAAAAATGGCTAGTTAAAAAGTCGAAATTTGTCTGAAGAAAAAAAAACCCACCCCGAGCACAAATATTCCGTTACTTTCGTACCGAAAATCGGAACAATAATATGAATAATTATCACGGCTTCTCACTCAAAGTTGTCTCAGCGACAACGGTTTTTACAGCCAATTTCTTAATTCAGAGGATAATATAAAAACGGAGTAAAAATAGTATTTTTAAAATTTGTCGGTTCAGAAAATTTAACGGAGCGTTCCGATAATACAACAAGACTGCTCGTATCAGGGCGAAGCCCTGAATGTTCCGATTGCCTTTTAAGGTTTTATGGAGCAGTATTAACATCAAAAAATTGAATGTAATAAAATAAAATGAAAAATTTTTTTTTCTAAAACTTGAAATTTTGTATGAAAATCATCCCCCCACACGCCATATAAAGTAGAGAAAGATAGATTTAGCTCCTTGTAACAAAACAATTATGGCAACTTCTTTCAACCAATTTGGAACGATTTTAAGACGGATTAAATCTCCGCTTACGCGTTAATAGCGCGAAATATATCGCGCGTTAATTGTCCCAAATTGACCAAAATGGCAATCTTTAAACCCCCATAACTTTACGAAAAATAATCACAGGTGAAATATCTTTTCCAATTTGAGCTCAGGACAACAATAGCTTTCAAATGATAAAAAAAAAATTCCGTCAAAAAAGACTAGTTAAAAAGTCGAAATTTGTCTGAAGAAAAAAAAACCACCCCGAGCACAAATATTCCGTTACTTTCGTATCGAAAGTCGGAACAATAAAAGAAACTTACTGTAAGTTAACTTATAATTGCCTTTCTTTACCACTCCAACTTGAAATAAAACGTGATCTAATATTACAATTATAAAGTAATTAAATAATAAAAATTTGAATCTTCAAATGAGAAATGTCAAAATTATCCGAACTTCCAAACGTTCATTTCCAATCTGCTATTTCCAATTTTAGTTTGTTCTGGTTTTCTGCAACTTCTCTGCAGATACTTTTTGCAAATTTTCATTTTAATTTTCTCAATTCAACACCGCTGCTCTTATGATCTTTTTGAAAAAACTGTGGCTTCTGGCTATTTGTGGGTGGTTTATCTTTGCTCAGTTTCAGTTTTGCCCATAAGTTGCGCCGCCCTATAGTCCCAATTTCTATACTTGTCGACATACAAAAATAATTATCTGTCATATTTGATGTTGCCTAAGGATATAAATGAATATGTTATTTGACTTTTCAAATAAGAAACTATTTTTTAAATGATGAACCAAATAAATGGGTCAGCCAACAGAGGCGCGTTTATAATAATATTACTAAAAAAAATTGTTTCCAATCTATTCTTTTATTAAATTATATGAAACAAAATAAGCAAAACTAGTGGCTGACAATCAATTGGAAGGACACTATTAGACCTTGAGGTCCGTTTTCAAGCGACTCAAGCCAAAAAATTGCTTGCGCAATGCTTGCAGAGAAAGATACTTAGCTGCTCGAAATTCAAATTTTTTGATAGAGTTACAGATATTGAAAGAAAAACAATCTTAGAAAAAAAATACAATTTAACTACATAATTTCATTCGCATGGATTTTTAACCACTAAAAAATTTGGGACTGCGCTCTTATTCAAAATATAATTTCCTAAAAAAATTGCGGTTAAAAACGTTTATTTGATGTTTTGTTGCTGTTTTGAACTCTGGCCCAACAGAGGGTAGGATTCTATAGGAAAATTAGAGCCGGTTATCTCCGCGAAGGGGCGACGAGGGCGTAGCGCGCTCACCGATGACCTTAAACCAACAGCTTAAAGAAGTCGGGTTAGCAGGGAGGATCTGGATTTTTCACGAGGGGGAGGGGGGGAGAACTTTCAACACCGCTGCTCTTATGATCTTTTTGAATTTTTGCGCCGCAGACAGAATTTTGAAAAAAAACAGGCCACAAAAGGATCTTTTTAGTGCTTTGGCTTTGGGAGGGCTCGGAAAATTTAAGGGTTCGTCAGTCAAAAATGGATATCTCAAATTAGTACAAAAGTTGGACGTACCCTGTGCGTCGGCAGGTGATCGAATTCCTGAGAGGGAGGGGGAGGGGGATCCGCCTCCCCCTCCTCCCTAATATTCCCGGTGCGGCTTAGTATAGTCTTTATGGCCCAATGATTTTCTTCGACAATAACGCCACTGATTTGTTATTTTTGGTGCAAATGTGGGATCTTGTTAACTATCTTGGCTCACAGTTCGACCAATCAGAAATCGAGTTGAATAATTTTGGTACAAATGGGACCGTTTTTTCATTTTGGTACAAATGACCGTTGGTAGAAATGGGACGTCACCACTATTTCCCGTCTACTTCGATTTTCAGAAACTCAACTTTGGCGGTCACATTTTCAATAGCTTTAATACAATTTTCAGAATTTAAAAATATTTAAAAATTTTTACGAGGGTATTATAAAATTCAAATACGAACGCGCGAAATTGAAAACTCATGTAATTGTTGACTTTTTTGAAATGCATATTTTATACGGAAATGGTTGTCAAAATTAATACATGCAGGAGGGGATAGTTAACAAGTCCAAAAGGGGGGATAGTTAACAAGTCCAAAAGGGGGGATAGTTAACAAGATCCCAAATGGGGACTGCTTTTGCAGTTTGGTACTTATTGTGGGTCCTTTCGACTTATTTGACCACGAGAAAAAAAGATCCAGCGCCGCTCTCTATGAAATAAACTATCCTGAATAAAAGTTACCTGAGGTGTAGGAAAAGAAGCAAAAACTTACTTTTGAATGCAGAATGTGTAACTTGCTCAGACGAAAAATACCTTGTTTAAAAATTTTGAATTTGATTATTTTATAAAATTTTGCAATAGATTTGCGTGAATTTGAGGTGATTTTTTTGCCATGAATATCTGTGTTAAATTATTCAAGCACTATGGAACAGGAAAGGAAATGTAATTCTCAATGTATGTTAAACAAATGTATTTCTCAGAAAAGCAAATAAAAACAATAAAGTGACGTGTTGAATGTATGATGGCCAGAACGTACCAATTTGTTTTTGCAAAGAGTATAATATGCCACGCGCAAAATAAACATATACCAAAAATGTTTCTCAAACCATTTGATCATGTTTCTCAAACGTTGCAGCTTTGAGACCTCCAAGCAGAATATTAGTTTTAGCCGATGGAATTATTTCATTTTTACCATCCCATTTCTGGATCTCTTTAACTATATCACCCCTTTTGCAGGGGGGGGGGGGGGGAGGGAGATTTGTTTACTAGGTTTAAAATTCTCATATCCTTATCCGTTGATTTATTTATTCACAGGATGGCGGGGGAGGTGTTCGTTACTAGGTACCCGTGGGGAATATAGTTAAAGATATTCATATTTCTAGCCTGAAAAAGTTTGAAGACGCATTTCAAGATATGGAACAATAAATGCAGAATACTAAGCAGTAGGGAGCGGATAAAAAGTGAAAAGTTTTTTTTGCTTTTTAAAATTTTTAGCTCTTTTTTCCTTAACAACCCCCCTCCACCTTGCATCAGCCTCAATTTTATGGTGCAATGGGGGTTTTTATAAGGTTAATTATGAAGACCAAATATATTTGTTATGGCCTAATTAGTTAGGATGTCAATTTTCATAACAATCGGTTGGTGAGAACAGCCACTTTACTGATAAAAGTTTGCAGGTGGGGAAAAGTAAAAAGCCTCAAAAACTTATAAGTTTGAGTTAAAGTAACCTAAAAGCAGCAACCAGAACCATATAAGAACCGTTATTGAGAAAAGTGAAAAACATCGAATATAACATATTTTTGTGGTCTATAATGTTATCAATATAATCGATTTCCAGTTACGCTCAGACAATAGAAATGGGTTGAAATGGAATTTGAATCTATCTTTTCTAGCAAAAAAAAATAATGCATTATTTTTGGATTTGAAATCAGTTATAATGAACTATACAATAAGTAGAAAATCATATAAAAAGTGATTTTTTTCCTTCCTTGTTTCGCTTCATTTTGAAAATACATCAGAAAACATTTGAATTGATAACAAAACACGTTCTCAAACCAAAAATTTAGATTGAAAACATGATAATAATCGCTGGGGTAAACCCCTCCTCCTGAACTAATTACCCCTCATGAACCACTCTCCCTCACATAAAGCACTAAATACTACTGTTAGCGCATGTTTAAATACAGATAGTTATTATAGTTTAGGAATTTCTTAAACAACATTTTGGGGTCAGTTTTTAACAAAAATTTTTCTTAAATCTCAGAAAACCTTTTAACCTTAGAATCTAAAATTTGAGCTAATTTACTTCTAGTTTTTGTTTTTTTTTTCAAACAATTTTAGCAGCTGATTTTGCTGAATTATTTCAGCCAGCTTCTGTCGTGAGTTTAGAAGCTGTTCAAAATACTGTTCAAATAAAAAATTCAAAATTTTGAAAAGTTCGCTTCCTCACAAAATTGAAATTGTGAAAAAATATTGAAAGAAAAATGGACTTCCGAAAAAATTTTAACTAACGAAAAATGATTTGTTGAATCCTGAATTAAATTTTCTCTTTTCAAAGTTTTTTAAAGCAACCGTACGTCCTCTGTCAGAAATATTTGGTGTCGCGACTCGGGGAAAGTCTGTTTATTTTTTCTAAAATTTTTTAATGAATTTTGTTAATATTTTTATTTTTTAATTGCAAACAATTCTGCTGGAGGAAACACCGAAAGCTTTACTCGTAGTTCCCTTATTGGATTTTTCTTCTTTCTAAGAAATAACTTCTCTGATCATTCTGTTAACTTTACCTTGAGAGGCATGATTTTGTTATGTCTGTGTTATGTCTGTAGGTAACTTATTTAGGTTTGGAACATTTCCGCTGGTTTCAAGTAATTAATCATTTGATTGAGCATTCAGCGAAACGGAGCGAATTGATTGCTTTTTTTACATAGGCTTGAAAAATCAATTTTGCGTCTATATGTACTGCCAAGCATCTCAAAGTTTGCAACTCTTCATTTTTCTCGTTTTTCAATGAAAAACAGTCTTGTATTAATATCAGTGTACTGCTTTTTGATTATTTTAATTGTCGTTATTTAGTGTAAGTTTCTTCTGGCACAGCCAATTATTGGTCTCTTTCATGACTGCTTGAAGTACCTTTGTTAACTGGAGGCTATTTTCACTATTTATACTGTTTGTTTTGTTAACTTTGATAGTGTTTCTTCATTGGCAGACATCATTTACATATAGTATAAAAAGCATTGGAACTAGAATAAGGCCTTGCTCTACTCCACTTTCAATTCTATTTAGTGAGAATTTATGAACTTCAGTTTCTATATACTGAGTACAATCTGATAAGTTTAACTTTAAAATCTAGTTTACCGGTCCTCGGAAGAAAATGTCATTGACTTTTTTTTAAAGTAAAACGGATTATCAACAATATCAAATGCTTTTTTCAAGTCTATAAACGTGTTTGTTTCAGGATAAAACCTGATTTCAAACTACATTTCCTGCATGAGCGATGCAATTGCATCTATTGTGATTCGTTTCTCCCAAAATCCGAATTTTTTTCGAAACTTTTCTTAAAAACTGTTTCTGCAAGTAGCTTTTTACGTGTTTTATGAAGAGTAACTGATGTCATAGCAGTCTGCCTATAAGTTTTTTGAGACATCAACAGTACTTATTATTTCTTGAGATGATATTTTCCCAAAGAACATTGCTTTTGATTGCTCTGGTATGGTAATTGGCAATGAGCTGGTACTGTTTTCATATAAAATACTCCCCATATCTAAAATATCTTGTGAACTTCTCTGCATTTTCACAACTTAAGATTGCCAGACTGGCAGACTTGGAATTTTTTAAAATTCTTTTAATGGCTGAATTACTCCCGGCAAATTTTTGCTGTATTCATTTTGAATCTGTTTATATATGTTCTCAGAAAAACAAATAAAAACAATAAAGTGACGTGTTGAATGTATGATGGCCAGAACGTACCAATTTGTATTTGCAAAGCGTATAATATGCCAAGCGCAAAATAAACATATACCAAAAATGTTTCTCAAACCATTTGATCATGTTTCTCAAACGTTGCAGCTTTGAGACCTCCAAGCAGAATATTAGTTTTAGCCGATGGAATTATTTCATTTTTACCATCCCATTTCTGGATCTCTTTAACCATATCACCCCTTTTGCAGGGGGGGGGGGGAGATTTGTTTACTATGTTTAAAATTCTCATATCCTTATCCGTTGATTTATTTATTCACAGGGGGGCGGGGGAGGTGTTCGTTACTAAGTACCCGTGGGGAATAAAGTTAAATATATTCATATTTCTAGCCTGAAAAAGTTTGAAGACGCATTTCAAGATATGGAACAATAAATGCAGAATACTAAGCAGTAGCGAGCGGATAAAAAGTGAAAAGTTTTTTTTGCTTTTTAAAATTTTTAGCTCTTTTTTCCTTAACAAGACCCCCCCCACCTAGCATCAGCCTCAATTTTATGGTGCAATGGGGGTTTTTATTAGGTTAATTATGAAGACCAGATATATTTGTTATGGCCTAATTAGTTAGGATGTCAATTTTCATAACAATCGGTTGGTGAGAACAGCCACTTTACTGATAAAATTTTGCAGGTGGGGAAAAGGGAAAAAGCCTCAAAAACTAATAAGTTTGAGTTAAATTAGCCTAAAAGCAGCAACCAGAACCATATAAGAACCGTTATTGAGAAAAATGAAAAAAAACTTCGAATATAACATATTTTTGTGGTCTAAAATGTTATCAATATAATCGATTTCCAGTTACGCTCAGACAATAGAAATGGGTTGAAATGGAATTTGAATCTATCTTTTCCCGCAAAAAATATAATGCATTATTTTTCGATTTGAAATCAATTATAATGAACAATACAATAAGTAGAAAATCATATGAAAAGTGATTTTTTCCTTCCTTGTTTCGCTTCATTTTGAAAATACATCAGAAAACATTTGAATAGATAACAAAACACGTTCTCAAACCAAAAAGTTAGATTGAAAACATGATAAAAATCGCTGGGGTAAACCCCTCCTCCTGAACTAATTACCCCTCATGAACCACTCTCCCTCACATAACTCATAAAGCACTAACCACTACTGTTAGCGCATGTTTAAATACAGATAGTTATTATAGTTTAGGAATTTCCTAAACAACGTTTTGGGGTCAGTTTTTTATCAAAAATCTTCCTTAAATCTCAGAAAACCCTTCAACTTTAGAATCTAAAACTTGAGCTAATTTACTTCTAGCTTTTTTTAAACAATTTTAGTAGCTGATTTTGCTGAATTGTTTCAGCCAGCTTCTGTCGTGAGTTTAGAAACTGTTCAAAATACTGTTCAAATAAAAAATTCAAAATTTTGAAAAGTTCATTTCCTCACAAAAATGAGATTGTGAAAAAATGTTGAAGAAAAATGGACTTCCGAAAAAATTTTGACTAACGAAAAATGATTTGTTGAATCCTGAATTAAATTTTCTCTTTTCAAAGTTTTTTAAAGCAACCGTACGTCCTCTGTCAGAAATATTTGGTGTCGCGACTCGGGGAAAGTCTGTTTATTTTTTCTAAAATTTTTTAATGAATTTTGTTAATATTTTTATTTTTTAATTGCAAACAATTCTGCTGGAGGAAACACCGAAAGCTTTACTCGTAGTTCCCTTATTGGATTTTTCTTCTTTCTAAGAAATAACTTCTCTGATCATTCTGTTAACTTTACCTTGAGAGGCATGATTTTGTTATGTCTGTGTTATGTCTGTAGGTAACTTATTTAGGTTTGGAACATTTCCGCTGGTTTCAAGTAATTAATCATTTGATTGAGCATTCAGCGAAACGGAGCGAATTGATTGCTTTTTTTACATAGGCTTGAAAAATCAATTTTGCGTCTATATGTACTGCCAAGTATCTCAAAGTTTGCAACTCTTCATTTTTCTCGTTTTTCAATGAAAAACAGTCTTGTATTAATATCAGTGTACTGCTTTTTGATTATTTTAATTGTCGTTATTTAGTGTAAGTTTCTTCTGGCACAGCCAATTGTTGGTCTCTTTCAT